TTATGCGAATTAGAAACTGACCTCCAAACTCAGGGCCACCAAGTTGCTCCCGCCGAGCTGGAAGCCCATCTGCTCACCCACCCCTTCGTTTCCGACTGTGCCGTCATTCAAGTCCCCGACGAGCGGGCGGGCGAGGTTCCCAAGGCCTTCGTCGTTAAAGGCCCCGATGCCGCCGGCAAGCCGGACGAAGAAATTGCGCGCGCCATCTGCAAACACGTCGAGGACCACAAGGCGCGGCACAAGTGGATCAAGGGCGGCGTCGAGTTCATTGAGGCTGTCCCCAAGAGCCCGAGCGGGAAGATTCTCAGGCGCCTTCTGCGAGACAAGGAGAAGCAGGCGCGCCAGGCGAAGGGTGCAAAGCTATGAGGATTCCGAGACTCTTTTTTGGCCTATGCAGTGTCGTTTCAATGATACATTGGACAGCAAGCATATGGCCCCTTTATCGCAAGCGGATATCAGTTACACTTACTTACACTTAGAAGATCTGGCAAGCAAAGTAGCAATTCGAATTCATTCCCATCTTTATCACACCCGAGTTGCTATAAGTTATCTATCTACTCTTCATCGGCTCATATAAGTACATTGGAATTCGCTGCCCAGACGATCGTTCCATAGCATTAGGCCCTGTAGGCAATATATATATATATAATGCTGTATTATGAGTTACCGCCGAAAGGAAACGCGTCCCCCCGTGCCTTCTCGTCTCCATGTGTTCGTGTCGATGCGCCTGTACGCCGTAGACGCCGCGAAGACATCCCTTCTTGTCTCCTCCCCGATGCCAAGAAGGCAGTTCTGTATCCCGGATGTTTACCCCAAAGACCCATTATTGATATTATCCCCTTCATTCCGTCAGGCTCAGACCCACCACTTCACATCCTTCATCTATTGTCAGACGCAAGTGCAATCATCCCAAAAGACTCTACGGCAAGACGCACACTCAACCCCTTTCCCGCATCATTGCACCTTCTTCCCGCCCGCATGGGCCGCGCCGTCCACCTTTCCGTCAGCCACGGGTTCCACGTAAGGGTGCTTGATGGTCAAGCACCAAATATCGAGGTAATCGCAGATAGTGACAATGACATCGACGACGAAGCTGCCATAGACGCCAATGGCAACGCCGAGCATCATGAACATGAAAGCGACCTGGTACACGCCGTCGCCAAGGGCAGAGGGCCAAGAGAGCGGGAACCCGGCAGCGCCAAGAGCGGGGCCGAGAGAATCGACGACGCCGAAAATGAGCGGCAGCACGAGGACGTTCCAGTACGGGAAGGGGAGCTTGACGAGATGGGCGGTGATCATCTGGCCGACCGAGTAGGCATTGACCATGCCGGCGAAGACGGCGAAGGGGACGAGGTGGGCGCGGAGGATGTTGGGCTGGAGGTAGAGGTAGGCGATGATGAGGGACCAGGTGGCGAAGAAGGGGACGAGCCCGAGGAGGGCGCCGCGGGAGCGGTCGCCCTTGGCGCGGCGGGCGCGGATGACGTTGCGGGCCGACTCGACCGTGTTGAAGACCATGACGACGGTGCCCTGCAGCATGTACCACTGCGTGAAGGAGAGGTTATACAGGGGCGATGGGATGCCCAGAGAGGAGGGTACTCCCAGTGTGGGGAGCATGGGCTGCTGCCAGAAGGAGGCACCGCCCTTGTAGCCGGTCATGAGGTAGACCGCGGTGAGGATGAGGACGCCTTCTACGGGTCCGTTGACGATGCCGAGTGTGAGCTGTTTAGTGTGGTATTCGTCCCAAGTCTGAACATAGAAGGTGAGGAGAGCTGGACGTTGCGCAAAAGTCAAAGGTTAGTTTACTTCGTCCACCCGTGCGTTGGTGGGGTAATCTTTCTTGTTGGGAAGGAGACCTACAGGCAAAGAGGGTCGCGACGGTGGCCCAGCCTTGGCCCATGTTCTGTGAGCCGGCAAATATCAAGGCTCCTAGAGCGGTGTTGACGGCGTCGACGCCGTGGTCGAATAGTTCGCCCAGAGGCCCGCTCTGTCTTGTCCGTCTCCTGGAAGAAGTCAGCTTGGATGGTCTGCGTCCCGTAGATCAAGAGAAAGGAAAGAAAGGTGCAGCCTACGCTTGAGACCCGTCAACGGCATCGAAAGTCTGATACAAGAACAGCCCGGTACCCCAAGTATAGTAAACCCACGGAGGACAATCCTGGTCCAGGGCAGGGTTATACCACAGCAGTGTCAAGAAATTGATCACGATAAACATGAAGCCCGTCAAGGTAATGAGGTTCGGGGCCATGCTCATGGGAAACATCTTGATGACGACATTGGTATAGAAGGGCTTGAGGATATATTTGGAAGTTAAGGAGTGGTCGACTGCGGCGTACTTGTATTGCCGGAGATTGGGGAGGAATTCCTGGCGCACGTAGACCATCTCGAAGGGCTCCCGTGCGGCGGGGAAGGGCCGGGCAAAAGTCAAAAGGTGTCTGTTCTTCGTTTCGTTCTCGAAGTATGGAGTTCGTGAAGATTCCTGCGATCCCCGGGAGTTCTGGTGGCGTTTTAAGGGGCTTGGAGGGATGATGGGTATCGAGGTTTCCGGACGACGAGTTAATAAGTGAACCTCAAAATTAAGGAATTGTCGAGTCCTGATAATTGGTGAAGCGGTGGGGGACGGGAAAGAGATCGGGATTGTGGACAAAGTCGAGAGCTATATCGGGGGTGGTCTGGAAAATTCCTTTTTTGTTCTTTTGCACCCACCCGCACTAGAAAAGGAGGACAACGGGGAAAGGACATGTGGTCAGGTCGCGTGAAACCGGCGCGTCGAAATTTCCTTGGCATCAACGTCACCCCCCCCCCCCCCAACCTAAACTGATGACACGCATTATGGCGGTACCCGTATATGGATCGGATTTAACGTTAATGCGAAGCTTTTTCATATAGCTGGGTTTGCCCCTGAGTGATGTGCTCCCGGCTTGGCGCCCTAACAAAGCCAATTCACTAAGACATACCTAATACGGGGGATCTGGATAACTACCTTACGGATGTACTTCGTACTTTGTATGAGGTATCTTCACAACACGTCACCATCCCAGCCTTTAATCACTTTACCTAACTGGGCGTTATACTGGTCTGGAGATTCCATTATTATGTTTCTTTAACCGCTGGCAATGCGTGCTCTTTCCGTCTGATCTAACTAAGCTCAGCCCGAACAAAACAGCAGCAACTAACGACAAGGCAACAATGGACTTTGTCCCTCTTTTACCGCAGCAAGATCCCGAATTCTCCCTAAATTCTCCTTGTCGCTCTCACGAATACAACGTCTCCCAACTAAAGCTACGACGGAAAGGCACGCAGGCTGCAAAAACCGCAAACTCCAACCGGGCACCCTTAAGCAACAGATGCAACAACAAGTGCCGCTACTCCCTCCTCTTCACTGCGTACTGTGACCTTCGTGGTCACGCCCGACTTGGACGAATACGCCATCCGCACGTTGGCAACCACCCTGCCTCCACCCACTGTCTTGCCAAATAGCTTTAGGGCGTGCGTCGTCTGGCTGACGGGAACATCGGTACCCTCTAGCGGCTGCAGGGAGAGGATCTTGGCTAGTTGCTCGGTTGCATCTGCGAGAAGAAAGGACAGTCAGCTCGACCGTACCATTTATTTTCGAGGGAGAAAAGCGAATAGGAAATCGAAAGAAAACCGAGGAGAAAAAGGGTAAAAAGAACTCACCCGCTATACTCTTCATGCCGCTGAGCTGTAGCGTCTCCTCCGCTTCCTCGCCCGCCGCACCAACCTGCTCCCATATGTGGTTGAAGTTGCCAGCAAACGCTGGCATGACATAATCACTGCCCGTCAGGTCGAATTCGGCCACCTCGTACTCGTCATCGTAGCCCGTTTCTTCCGGCTCATTGGTCGTAGGGTCGATCTCCTTGCTGGTGAATTTGAGCACGTTCGAGAAGCTGCTGACCGGAAGTGATCCCTCTCCGTTCACCTTCTGGAACGCCACGTACACCTTCCCGGGCTCGTCTGTCGCGAGCTTCTCGGCTTGAATGATAAAGACCTCCTCGAGTTCGTCCTCCTCCGCGGGCGTCGCTACCACCGAAACATTCTCCAGGATAGTAGCCGGTATCGTGTTCTTGATGTCGTACTGAAGCACGATGTGCTCCTTGAAGATGTGCTTGACCACCGTGACCACGTACTCGGTCTCGGCCTCCGTGAGTTCAATAACCGGGGACGACTTGAGCACGCTGCCAAACTCTTTCATCTCCGGGATCTCCATCAGCTCCTGAGCATAGCGCTGTGCCGCCGCGGAGGCTGATGCCGCCGCCTCGGCACCCGTCGCCGATGTCTTCGTCGGGCCAACCTTGGGGGGCTTGAGCGAAGGTGCGGTTGCCGTGAGCTTTTTGTTCCTATCCTCGGCATCGGCTTGCTCGCGGGTAACGACAGGAATCTTGGAGATGTCGAAAGGTGTGTCGAAGGTGGATTTATCGTCCGAGGTGACGTACATGACAAGTTGCTGCTCAAAGTACGGAAGGGAGAACATGCTGTCTAGGAGGAAGTTAGTAAGAGAGGAACGACACTGACTACAAGCCTAGTGAACATGGGGGGCGAGACGGGGCAAGGTTGAACATACCATCCTTGACAAACTGGGTGGACATCTCATCGTCCTCGTGCATAAGTCGGAGGTTGAGGGCTGCGCGATCCCGAACTTCGTCGTCGACATCGTCCAAGCACCGCGTAAGAAGAACGTCAACACTCCGCTTGACCTCGGGATCCTTCTGACCAACACCGAACTTGGCAAGCGCAGTCACTGCCGCAGCCCGGACGATGGCGTTCTCTAGCACGACGCGGTTGTAAATGTAGCGGATGTACTTGGTCGGCAGCGACGTCTTGGGTCCCTCCACGCCGAGAAGGTGCAAGATGCGAACAGCCAGCTTGGTGAACTCGCAATCCTCGATGAATTCGCAAAGATGCGCCAGCGCATCTTCTTTCGAGTCGGGAACGAATTTGATCAGGTCGAACATGCTTTCGACCACAGCACGCTTGAATTCGTAACCGCCTTCGTCGCGGAGGATGCCGCTCAGGAAAGCCAGCATGCCCGCCTGCTTGCTGGGGAACTTGAGACAGAGCGTACGGATGGCTTCCACAATGGTGATCTTGAACTCGTCCGTGATCTCCGACATAAAGCTGGAGATGTGCTTCATCAACCGGTCCACACTGGCTTCGTTGCCCGTCTTGAGCAGAGTCGTGATGGCGAAGGTGGCAATGGACCGATTGCTATTGGAGATGAGAAGCTCAATGTCTGGGTTGCACACGTTGACAGCATTGGGTTTGAAGGAGGCGAAGTTGTGGAGGATACGGAGTGCGGCGAACTTGGTGACAGCACGCGGCGAAGTGAGGAAGAGCTGAAGGACGTGGACGGCCTGGGACACCTCGGCGTCCGTGACGTCCCTCATGTCGCAGATGGCCTTGGCCGCCTCGAAGTTGACCATCTCGCTCTTGTGTCGCAACCATCCATCCAGCAATTGCATCATGGGCTTCCGCAACGACGGGTCTTCCTCTGCGAGCTTAGCGGCAAGACGAACGAGCATGACGATGGCGGCCGAATTCTTGACGGCGCCGGCAGCACCCAACTGCTGGACCATCTTGACCAGCGCCATTCGGTCGTGGCTGCGCATTTGGTAGAGCAGACCAATGGCGTGGTATTGCGGCATGGTCGAGTTGTTAACAGGAAGCTGGCCGCCCGACGAGGAAAATCCAAGCGAGAAACCGCCCGACGATTTGGTCGACGCCGCTGCCTCTTGGGTCTCGCTCTGCCACCGGCGTACAACATCCTTTGCGATGGGAAGGAGGTGGTAGGCAGAGACAAGCGCTGCTGAGGACACCGAAGGGTTCTTGTCGACGATGGCCGTCTTCATCACACGCTCAATCGATTGCACGGTTGTAGCCTATAGCAGCCCAGCGTCAGCCCCTAATATCTCTTGTGGTTGAGAAAGAAACGAATCCAGCGTACGTCAATGATGCGGCAAAGCGCCCGGATGGCATTGGGTCTGTATATGGCTTCGGTGCTTCCTCCGGTATCCTTCATAATCGTGCTTGTGACCATAATTATATCCTCAGCCGAGCTGGCCAGCTCCTTGATAACAAGGTGGACCATTTGCCGTAGGCTAGCATCTTTGTTCTGGAAGAGCTTCGAGATGCCGAAGAACAGTGTTGTAGCCTCGTTCGTCGGAAACTTCTCGCCCCTATATAGGAGCAGAGCAATCTTGGTGAGGAGTATGCGACATCTTCGCGGTTGGATGGGGGAGCTGTTGAAGAGACGAGCTTCGCGTGTGTTTCAGCGGGAATGGCCCAAAGGTGGTGATTTTGCCCTAGACTACAATAGACGGGAGAGGGTGGGAGCTTACCTTCTTGGAATACTTGTGTCCGATCTACCTTGACCAATCCCAGGTCAGCATCTTCGTCCTTCTTGCCGTAGCTCATGGTGGGCGACGGTTGGGTTGATGGGCGAGGTTGAGGTTGTTGTCGTTGGAGGTCAGGACAGATGGAGCCCCCAGAGATGCCACGACTGATGCTAGTTCCACTGGTGGGTGAGTCACGTGATTATACCGGGCGTTTATGGGGGAACCGTCTTATCTAATCACGCCTCACCGCCTGAGGTACAGAGGTATTTTTAGGTACGTACCTTCACGACCTTCATTCGCCTTTCGCAACAGCGAAAAGTCAGTAAGGAATACAATACACCTGTGGGAGAGGCCAAGATGCGTTACATAGTTGCGACAAGGCAGCCGCTCCACTACCTAGCTCAACTATTGATTCGGCCATCCACATATTCATACTTCGGAACGAACCAAAGTACGGATATTTTCACTCGGGCTTCCCTCTTGCAGCTCATGGCGTGGCATACATCCGTCCAACACGCGTCTACACCTGCACTTTTTTACAAGAGCCTGGTGGAATTCATGTGCCATGGCATGTGAACTGCAGACTTGTAGGCAGCGGGCGGTAGTAGAACGGATGCCCGCTGAGGGTTGCGCTACAGGCTACATGGAAGAGATATAGAGCGATGCTCCGTGATTGTCTCACGGAACTGAGTATTTCGATTCCGACTCTTGCAATTTGGCCTTGCCACGGACGCAATATCATCTGCCTTCGATCTTGGTCGTCACAATATAGATGTTTCCCTCGTGGACAAAGGAGAAAGAACCCCTGAGCATGGATGGGAATTGAAGTGTGTTTGTGGACAAATCGCATGGCGTTGACTTCGGCGAGCGGATGTCAAGCCAGCGTTTCCATACCCGTCGCGTTTGCTTCTGATACTTTATTGCGGCAAGGAAAATAACGAAAGGACGAGTGGCGGGGCCAATGTTGACATTCGGTATTTGATCAATGTTCGTTATTCCGAGGGCTACGGGTTCATAATTAGCCTATAGTGGGGCCGGCCTGGCAATGAATCTGGCGATGATGAAGTATCGGTGGGAGCATATGAGAAGAGTGTGGTTGGCGGATGTGCTGTCGCCGCGAAGTCCTGGCTTCCAGATTTTGTCAATAGGTCGTGAAAATCCCGACACGTGACAATAAAAAAGTTTGGTCATTCTACCTTAGGTGGTACCTACAGTGTACATAGATATGCCAGATGCAGTTCTTCAAATCTTCCATCAACCACGACGATGGGATAAGATTTGGCACCCATTTTTCTATCCACTCCACAGAGGCCTTCATACAGATCTGCTATCTGACCAGTCCCGCGTTTGGTGTCCTGTTTGAATGATGGCGCAAGCAGTATATATGAAGTTGTCAGAAGCTAATTATCTCTGTTCTGCTTTTTATACGGTATTTGTCCCTCGGAATTCTACGTGTCCCGCCGACTGGCAAGCGGGGAAAGGGGGGGCGTTGCACGGCAGCCTTGGCCTGCGCGCCGTAATTACTCCATAGGGGCCCAGTACTTCGTTTATGTTTGAAGACATGCAAAAGGAGGACTCTCGCTTGTTCCTGGTCTACGCTGCCAAGTGGAATCTGAGGCAGAAGAGTAAGTTTTGAATATATTTGCAGCTACAGTCTTATCTCAATGCCTGCCCTTTCCGCGTAGTCGCAAGTCCTTAGAGCTTTGGGAGGAAGACATCAGAGGACACAAGACTCGAAATTGTAGATATTGGTCGCTCCAATGGCTCGGAATCGTGATGTGATACAGACGCGGAGCATCGGAGGCTGTCAATAGAAATTTTATTCCGCAGTCCATTATAGTGGTTATAGACCACCATGTACGACGATTGCCCTTTTTCCCACGGAGACCTTTTGTCAGTTGGGCGGTAAAGTAAGGTAGCTTGGAGGCTGGTATGCAGTTATCAACGGACTTCTACAGGGTTTCTCTCGTATCTGCGCTTTTCATTGCATTCCTTTAGAACTTTCCGGTGCCTTTCGTTCTTGGGTTACACGACACTTCCAGGTACGTAGATATTTATGATGATCCTGGTTTGGATGCTCTTCGCACGCAGACGATGAAGGCTTGAATCTAGCACCTAATTAATTACCGAATCTGCGGGAACTGGACAAACTAACATGAAGTATGCAGAAGCCGCGAGGGGTAGATAAGACGTTGCGGGCCCGTTCAAGTGTACATTATCAATAACATCTACCTATTCATTGCCCTCATCCTCTCATATACGGGAATTGGTGAGCGATGCTCTGCACCTGGCTTGGCTTTGCGGACATGCACTTCGTAAAACTACGTACCTTACCTGTTCATTGTGGAGACCACTTCGGCCCAAAGGTGGCGATATATGGTCTGCCTAGAGCGGGCAGGCGTTTCATAGGAACGACACTTTAACTACCTACCTTAGGTACGATAATTTATGCTACCTCCTATATACCTTAAACTAGCGACACAGGCATGTGACTCAGTCGGTGTCTGTTGGGGTATAGCTCGTTGGGCCGGGACGATAAAATTTCCAAATCGAAGGTGGTGTTGGGCTTGTGCAACGGTCCCGGAAAGGGAGGTCTGTACGAAGTAGAAAATAAAGACTGGAATCTCTCGACACCTGCTCCAGCCTCTCGTAATGTAGGTTGCAGTAGTGTACTTGGGTAGCGCAATCGTGTCCGGCAAAATTATATATCGCCACAGCTCCCCTTGATCAAAATTACGAACAGAAATCTGACGGTATCGGATTAAGACTTGGACACTCCCTGAAAAAGTGCTCCCCTGTTTCAAGCACCAAAGGCGAAACTGCGCAACTGTGGCAAGACCCTACTGTAGGTAGGCATTTACGCACTGTGAGTGTAGGTGGAAGGGCTACAAAATAGACTACTCAAGGAATCCATCACTCGCTCGCTACGGCATGATCGACGAAGGGAGCATCGTATCTGGGTCCATACATGTAGGTAGATAAAACATGATGGTATGGAGCAAGCTACGTATGCATGGTCGACCACCGACTTTGCCTATGCATATATTTCGTGCTCCAGTGCCTGCAAGGAAAGCAAATAGATCGGGATACTGTATTATTATGTTCGCTTGCCCTCTAGCACCTTGCCAAACAGATATATCCATCTGGCCGGACACTAATACTTGGTGCCGCTTTCTAGATAGCCACGGAGTGACGACGATTCACGGTATTTCGTATGTAATACCTTGTACTCCGTACGGGTTTGCCAAGACTTGCTGCTATGAAGCCTCCACCAGGTGGCGTGCTGTTTGCGGAGAGCCCGGCAAAGAGACCGCCAGTGTGGATGCGAGTATCCACGGTCAAAGAGGCAACGAAGAATAACTCATCGTATGCCGGGAGACTTGGACCAGAAGGCGCACGATCCGTGGGGCACAGAAACTTGCGCCAGGCGCGGACGCATTCATGGCCTTGGGACCAAGGCCATCTAACTTGAGTGGCAGATTTTTGGCAGGCCGGGAGGAAATATTAGCGGCCAGGAAGTACGGAGTACATCTAAATATCACTGGTGCTATGAAAGATACCTTATCCACACCGGGAAACTTCACTGCGGGATGACTCGACGAACCAACCAATACTACTTCTATGTTATCTAGAAATCAAAAAGGAAGAAAGATCTGAAAGAGGAACATGGCTGTAAAGAGACAACACTTGCGAGCAGCCCGTAGCTATCTCCAGTGCACTTCGCATATAGTGGCAACTACGAAGTAGCAAAATGAGACTGCTTCGTACATCATCGGCGGGGTGTACTGCAGGGTTGCCCGAGAGACTAAACAAGGAGGTGGGGTAAGCTGAGGGCAAGGCAAAAAAATTAAAAATTCTGCATCGACGTGGAAGGCTTTGAGGGAAAGTGTGGGCAATACCTTCTGAGTGGTAGGCCAGGCCCTGGAAATCTATTCACTGTTGGGCGGCTAAGGGCTGGTGTGCCCCGCTTGCCCCTCCTACCAACCTGCAAGTCGCCCTCGCAACCTAAACGCGCCGTGGCCCCTCCACCGATCAGCCCCTCCCCCTCCCCCTCCACTCGAGTAATAAAATCTCTCCCACCCACCATCCCTCTTAACCTCTTTTCTCTCTTTCTTCTTCCCTCGTCCGCATACCAGAAACACGCTTTCTGCCTGCAAACTCGTAAGTGGTTCTCCCCCTTCGCCTCTCATCTCTGTATGGATATATATTCCATTTGGATATTCACATCTTCCATCTACCTTGATTTTCCGAGCTAATCATTGCCTTTTTGCAGACACTTCCATCGCCCTCAACCTTTTTCCCACAAGCACCCGACAAGTCAATCAAGATGCCTCCCAAGGACGAGAAGACCCGTGCGTACAATTATGCTTTCCATCCGGCGAATTTGTTACTGACATTGACGAAGATCTCAACATCGTGGTCATCGGCCACGTCGACAGTGGCAAGTCCACTACGGTGCGTCTCATTCACACAACCCTGCGACCTCAATTACAATCTCTAACATGAATATTCTCTTCAGACTGGTCACTTGATCTACCAGTGCGGTGGTATCGACAAGCGTACCATCGAGAAGTTCGAGAAGGAAGGTCCGTAACAAATCTTTACTCTGACTTTTTTCTGTTGATTTTTTTTTTCTTTTTCTCTTTTCCCCCTCCTGACTCGATTGTGGGTCGCGGGGCACTGATCCTGCGGTTACCCCGCTCTCACTTGCAATTTTTTCCGCAACGACTGGACCAACAATTTTTACTCGTTTTGTACCCCCCTTCGACCCCAAGCGGGGAAAAAAAATTGGATAAAGAACGAGCAACCGAAATGCTGACTAAGCGATTCAACAGCTGCCGAACTCGGCAAGGGTTCCTTCAAGTACGCATGGGTCCTTGACAAGCTGAAGGCTGAGCGTGAGCGTGGCATTACCATCGACATTGCCCTTTGGAAGTTTGAGACTCCCAAATACCATGTCACCGTCATCGGTAAGTTGTTATCTGAGTTCGACGCCTTCTCAGCACTAGGTTGGCGGTGCTGATCAATTTCACCCCTAGATGCCCCCGGCCATCGTGACTTCATCAAGAACATGATCACTGGTACTTCCCAGGCCGATCTTGCCATTCTCATCATTGCCGCCGGTACTGGTGAGTTCGAGGCTGGTATCTCCAAGGATGGCCAGACTCGTGAGCACGCCCTGCTCGCCTTCACCCTTGGTGTCCGCAACCTCATCGTTGCCATCAACAAGATGGACACTGCCAAGTGGTCCGAGGACCGTTACAACGAGATCATCAAGGAGACCTCCAACTTCATCAAGAAGGTCGGCTACAACCCCAAGCAGGTCGCCTTCGTTCCCATCTCCGGCTTCAACGGCGACAACATGCTCGAGCCCTCCTCCAACTGCCCCTGGTACAAGGGCTGGGAGCGTGAGGGCCCCAAGGGCGCCAAGCTCAGTGGCAAGACCCTCCTTGAGGCCATTGACTCCACCATTCCTCCCACCCGTCCCACCGACAAGCCCCTCCGTCTCCCTCTCCAGGACGTCTACAAGATTGGCGGTATCGGCACGGTCCCCGTCGGCCGTATCGAGACTGGTATCCTCAAGCCCGGCATGATTGTCACCTTCGCTCCTTCCAACGTCACCACTGAAGTCAAGTCCGTCGAGATGCACCACGAGCAGCTCACCGAGGGTGTTCCGGGTGACAACGTCGGCTTCAACGTGAAGAACGTCTCGGTCAAGGATATCCGCCGTGGCAACGTCGCCGGTGACTCCAAGAACGACCCCCCCTCCGGCGCTGCTTCTTTCACCGCCCAGGTCATCGTTCTCAACCACCCCGGTCAGGTCGGTGCCGGCTATGCCCCCGTCCTTGACTGCCACACTGCCCACATTGCCTGCAAGTTCGCCGAGCTCAAGGAGAAGATTGACCGCCGTACCGGCAAGTCGGTTGAAGACAACCCCAAGTTCATCAAGTCTGGTGATGCCGCCATCGTCAAGATGATTCCCTCCAAGCCCATGTGCGTTGAGGCTTTCACTGAGTACCCTCCCCTGGGCCGTTTCGCCGTCCGTGACATGCGTCAGACCGTCGCTGTCGGTGTCATCAAGTCGGTTGAGAAGGCCGCTGCCGGTGCTGGCAAGGTATGTTCTTTCGTCTATCATCGGTACAGTTTATCCCACAGGTCACTGACACATCTCCCCAGGTCACCAAGTCTGCCGCCAAGGCCGGCGCCAAGAAATAAACGCTCTAATACCCTGTCATCATCCTCCTCATGGGTCTTCGGAACGTCCTCAGGCCGCGGACCGCTCATGCTTGCTTCTACGACTCTTACGAATCTCCTTTGCTCCGCGTGAGGGCCCGGTTTGTCTTTTTTTTTGGGAGGTTAGCACGGTTATGAGATGAAAAGGATCGGGCTATTTGCGTTCGACAAAAATCTTGTCCTCATGACCCAGGTGCTTTACTACGCAAAATAGAGTCCCTAGAAGTGATTCCCAAGTTCTGTTCAAACCTATCTGTCCTTGGCCTACACATTGTGACGTGATAATACAAGTCGTACGGAGTAGGCGTGTTCGTAGCTTCCTGTCACGAGAATCCAGTTCTTCCAACCCCATTGAACGGAGACGAAATGGCGAAGCACATGAGATTGTAATTTGTGACCTTGAAGAGGCTTTCCAGGCTTGGAAGGAAATTAAGTCTATCATTGGTATGGAACGAATAATATACAAGGTGTATGCCGTAACTAGGTAATGTACAAAACATATAAACCGGAACAGTATTGTTACACATTCCATTAACCCGATTTTGGCGTGGCCTTCTTCACTAACCATTTCTTTTGGATGCGCTGTAAAGATTAGGCCACGCCGGTTTTCTGATGGAGCTCTCTCGCTTACTAGATCTGCCTCACTCTCCTGGGTCTTGTATCCCCTGCCCGTGAACCGTTCTCGCCTTACGCACCATGGACATGTCTCGGCTTCTCACCCAGCCACAGGAAGAGCTGGTCGCCGGCTAAACGTGTGGCGAGATCAATGTATCGTCTCTGATAAAGCGTCCCCGGCTTCTTCCCCTCGGCCGGTGGCAGCATGTGGAGCGAGAGCTCCGTTCGCCGGCCGCCGTGGAGCCCGGCCTCGATGTTCGTGTACCTGAGCTGGTGTCCCTCGTAGTGCAGCGTCACGGAGCGCCGAACTTCGAGGCCTATGAACGCGAATGTCTCGTCCACTGGGCCGGAAGGATCCTCACTTGTCTGGGCGTTTTGGCTTCGCTGCCGTTTCCCGGCGGCTGGTTCACCTCGCTCTGGAGCTGACGACAGGCTGTTGCTCATCATGGGCAGTCCAGCGAGCTCATCGGCGGGGATGTGCATAAAAGCTGGAGTGCGCAGCATCCCTTGGTCAAGGTCGAAGAGGGAGGCGTCGACGAAGCGGCGAATGGCGGGGATGCTGTCTGGGTTGGGAAGCCTGGATATGCTAGAGCGGTAGACGCGAAGATCAACGGGGCGGTCGGGGAGGGTCACATCGTGTTGTTCCCGGCTGAGGATGACGTGGACGTGTTTCTCGGGGCTATTTTCCCAGGTGAGACGGCCATCGAGAGGGAGTTGATCTGGTACAGCGAGGTGCACTTCTAGGAGGTAGCTAGGCACTGAAGAAGGTCGCAAGCGGACCGAGTCCTTGGCGATCTCTAAGAAGGGCTTGTCTCGGTCAACTCCGACGGCAAAGCGAAGGACAAGCGTCGTGGTCGCAGGGACGTCGGTTGTTGCTAGGGAATCAAGTGAGGCTAAGCCAGTAGGAGGAGGAACAATGGGCGAGAACATGCGGGTTGGAGCCCGGCTGTCTGTCTCGCTGGACGTCAGAACACCTTGCGAGGGTGAAAGCGATAGTGCCCTAGCAAGAGGAAAGACACCCTGTCCATGGGGGAACAAGAGGTGTCCGAAGGTGACGGACGTCGTCTCCTCGGGTGGGCTCCAGGATGACAATGTATCATCTGTATCGTCATCGATCACGTCTGCCTCCTTGTTGCTGGGGAGGAAAAGCATCGTTGGGGCAGCACGGATGACTGACAAAGGAGCCTGAGGGGTGCCTTTGACCAGATCCCGTCTACGGCCGAATCGATAGCGGTATCGTGGCTTCGGATCAGCCGTGTCACGACCCAGAGGCAGGATCCAACGCGACCAGCTCTGTAGCCTATGACGCCAGGTCCACCGTTCTTGGTCACCGACGGCGGGAGCCAACCGGACCTGAAGAGGATCTTTGTTCTTGCTACTCGCCCGCCTCTGGGAAGCGAATGTCCTGGTACGCCTCGGAACGAAGCTGGGATCAACGACGGCAGTGGACGGGACGCTGAGAAAGGCAGTGTATAACAAGCGCCAGATGACATGCGCTTTGCTTTCCCATGCGTTTTGATCGTCGGCTACGTTACGGTCGCCAGTCGTATTCCACGATAAGACTCGAAGCTGTGATGAAGCCAGTCAGTCAGCAGTTGTCCCATAGCGTACAAAGGGGAGGGGGTTGGGCTTACGATCCCAGAACTGTCGAGGGAGAGTGCTGTCTGGGTAAGGGAGCCCAGCTTCCTGATGAAGCTCTCGGTAATGTTCGCAACGGGCAACTTAGTTTGACGGGGAAAGAGTGTCAAATTCTCCTCTGCGGCACTTTCGAGGAAGTCTTCGATATGGTCGAGGATGGCCTGGCCAGCGGGTTTTCTAGCCATGATGCGGAGCTCTTTTGTTGCAGGACTGCCTGTCACCGACTCTCCCGGTTGAATAAAGCCTTGGCCAATATCTGCGATCAAGTCCCCATCCCGATCTATTTTCGATCGATGGTTAGCAGCAAAGTCTACAACAAGAAAAGCAAAAAGAAAAGAAAGGAAAAAAGAAGAAGAAAAAAAAAGCCAAAAGGGCAATCAAGGAAGGGCGACTCACGCCTCGCTTGGAGATATGCCCAAGCCGAGTCGGTGAAAGAAACGACAATCTCGTTCAGGCCTTCCACTCTTTCCCAAACATCAAGACCCCAGGCTCGTGACATGAGAGAGTAGGCCACCCGGTCCTTTCCCGGTTTGGATGGCAACTCGATCTCTTCCAGGGGGCGGAAGACGACAGGCCGAGCCATCCAGGACCGTGTTTCCCTTGAAGCGAGTGCAGAACCTGGTGTCTTGGATGAAGATGAAGACCGAGCCTTCGTTTTCGTCGAGAGGTAGTAGGTGAGTTGAGACTTGGTAAACCCTCCGGCGAGTGTTTCGAGGAGAGCCCCAAACTCATTTCTGGGGAGTAGGGAGTTCTCGGGGCGGAGCTCCTCGATGTTCTGGTATGCCTCTTCCAGGGAAGCCGTATCTCGAGAGGCTTCAATCGACTCTTTTAGTTCGGCGGCCAAGTCGGGGGAAGTGCCGTCTTCAGGCAGCGGAATCTCTTCGACGAGCCGCGAACGGTCTGGCCTCTGGTCGTCACGCATTATGATGGTATGTGCCTTTTCTCCCAGCATCTCAACTCCCAGCTCTTCAGGGCTAAGAGTGACGCGACGCAAGCCCACACGCCCCCGATGGACCTTGCTTTTATTATCATTGGACGTTTTCCTCTTGTTCTTCTTGTCTGATGGTCTGCTCCGAGAATGAGAAGCCTCCGGCAAACCTCCCTCCGGATTTGACGAAGCATCTGTAGGACTCGGCTCGTCGTGGGTCTCCTTGTGCGAGGCATGGTCAAAAGCTGCTACGTCTTCATTCTTGTTGTCTCGTGAGGCTTCTCTGACGGCTTCGTGGGAGGCACCAGCCTCATGCAGTCGTTCCCATGCAGGTGGAGAGCTGTAGTGTCGAGAGAAAGGGCGTGAAAAGGGGAGTATGGGAGCAGCTTCGGATGGACGAACGGTCCATGGTCGGCGAAATTTGTTAGGAAATCTCAATTGACATTGTATACAAATGTTTCGAGGATTAGCTGCTCTAGAAATCATTGGAGCGAGTTTGAGGTGGACATGTGCCAAATCTTGGTCGTCATGCCGTTGCAATTGAATGGCTTTGACCAGTCGCGTAGTGTAAGAGACGGAAGACTTGGAGACCGAGCTTGAAAGTCGAGGTCCAACTTGAATTTTGCGATCAAGGATGCGATCCCGATAAGATAAGGAATGCCCCACTTCCACGTTTCCGACTTCTTTAAGGTACCTTACCTTACGCGACGACGCGATCTCTAGATCGAGTCTCGTAATGAAGTACCTCCGTATTTGAACATTCAGCCCTTCAACAAAGGAAATTCCCACGACAAACCACGGATTATTTAGCGTCCCTCGACTCGTTTTAACTATATTCTGAACAGCCTGCTGAAGTGGTGGAGACGCTTGGACGAAGGCCGCCACAATGCCTGTTGGAAGCAGGAGGAGACGAACCCAAGTATGTATTCCAGCAATGCGCCTCGCCCGGATATCACCTTCGACGAAAACACTGTCAAAACCCCCAGTCTGCTTCAACTGACCAAAGCCCCGTATGTTAGAATGAAGAAGACATCGACGGAGAAGACCAGCGACCCCGCCAGCGCAGAAATCGAGACCGACCCCCCGGAGATGACGAGAGAGAAGACACTTGGCAAGATGAAGGGGACACCATGGACATAGAGGCCAGTCCGGATGAACAGCTAGCCAAAAAGCTCGTTCGCTACGCTCTTGCCTGTGACTTCTCCCGGACACCGATTCGACGAGACGGGATTAAAGAGAGAGGTCAGTGGTCCTCTCTGGTTCCGGGCCCCGTCCTTTTGGCACATTCGCTGACCACCCTTGCCCTACCACTCCTCGCCATATAGTTCTCGGAGACCAAGGAAGAGCATTCAGAAGGGTTCTAGACATTGCACAAAACTATCTCCGCCAGATCTGGGGCATGGAGTTGCGTGAGCTACCAATACGCGAGAAACACACGCTCGAGGACAAGCGCAAAGGTGGGTCTGCGGCTATGGGTTCTTGAGGCGCCCTCTTTCTGTGCTTCGTTCACTTCGAACGTTGCTGACTTGGTTTGAAAAAAAAATTAAAAATTCACAACAGCCGCTCGATCACAATCTCAACCCAAAACCAGCACTGGCGTCTACATCCTCGTATCCACCCTCCCCGAAGCCTACCGATCCCCCGCCATCATCCCTCCCTCGCGAACCCCCAGCGCCGACGCCGAAGCGGCCTACGTAGCCTTCTACACCATGGTGATCACCGTTATTCTGCTCAACGGAGGCGAGCTCAGCGACGCCAAGCTCCGCCGGTATTTGCACCGCACGAACGCCGAGGACAATGTCGGCGCCGAGCCGACGGAAGAAGTCCTCAAGCGGATGCTGTCGCATGGCTACGTCACTAAGCATGTACAGCGCGATGAAACGAGCCAAGCCCACGACTCGGGAGAGAATACGACCTGGTACGTGGGCCCCAGGGGGCAGGAAGAGGTCGGGATCGACGGTGCGGCGGGTATGATACGCTCGGTGTGGGGGCAGCAGGATGAGCGGGGAGGCGAGGAGCTCGAGAAGAAGATCCGTGCGAGTTTTGGACCTGCGGTCGCTCGGGGGATGGGGGAAGCGAACGGGGAGGAGGATGGATGGGGAGGGGACGAGCCGGCATGATCGGAAGCCTTGGGAGGGTGAAATCCAGGTCGATTGGGGAAATGAACCCCTTAGATCAGATGCAGAGGAGCAACGGGGCGTGAGCCAACATGTCTTCTTTTCCGTAAATGAGCTTCATCTCTGATGAACGCGACGAAGGCAGCGGGCACAACGGGAGAGTGCACTTGAAAAGTGCGGTCATGATATACCATTCAAACCCGCCAAGTAGCCGTACAGGGTGTAACTCTCGCATCCCTCAAAACGCAAACAGATTTCGCCTAACGCCGTGTACCTCGCTATGGTGCCACCCATCCGATCCCCGAGTTTGGATATCCTACAGTCGTATAGGCCCGTCGCGTCTGGATGAAAATATGCACGTATTCATCGCCAGAAGACCGTATTACCAACCACACAACTGTGGCCTAGTCTTCGCGAGCAGGAGGTGGTCCGGAAGGTTGGAGCATTTTCTGTATGAGTCGCAAATTGGTCAGTATTCGGCGATATGCGCTTTGACAAGATATTTGCGACGTTTTCGTCGTTTGGAGTCTAGTATAGCGGAGGGGTAGCAAGCATACGCGGATGAGACGAGTTCGGACAATATGAGTAGGCTCGTTCTCGGCTAGAGAAATGTAGGAGAGCATATGCGGATGGCCTACGAGCGAGGAGTAGGTGTCGCGGTAGATGTTGGTCTTCCACTCCCAGCTCGTCGTGTCAGGGTGGCCGGTGCCGATGTATTTCGCCTGGAGGCGTTCGAGTTCTTGCTGGGTGCGGAGTTTGTCGGCCTATGCACGAGATGAAGTCGTTAGCTAAGAATTGTTACAGATGAGATAGAACGATATTTACCATATTTCGTTGCTGGTGAAAGGGTGTTCTATAGCCTACTCGTTTGGGAAGTTGAGACGCCAAACATGGGCATCTTCAATTCAAATGCTCGCCCATTCAGCAACTTGGGTTATGTCGGCTGTTCCTCGGATGTACATGTATTCGTGGTAAATGTACCTTATCGATAACGCAAGATACCCTTAGGTACCTCACCATCCAGACACCAAAATCATGGGTCATCGATTCTCTTGAACCATCCCATTCCTTATACCAACTGGACTTCTGTGGATACTCCTTCGACGACGACTTCTCGCGAACCGAACCGAATTCCCACCTCTTCCAACATCGATATCTGAAGACATCACTCACGGCGCTTTTTGTGACTGGACTGGCTTATGCTTTCGTTATTGGGGCCTTGTCGCCTCGTATCTCTGTTGGAGCTTTCTCAAATCCTTTCCAAGGCAACCGCGAACTCCCATTAATGGCAATAACGCCCTCCTACTGCATCGTTTTCACAGGATGGTGGAGAGTTGGGCCCAGCTGCAAAGACATCGCGCCGGTCGACTAAAGACACGCGACTCGGTCGAGACCGTTCAAAAGGCATGGGCGCAAGCGCACGAGATCAAGGCTGATGAGCGGGCGGATTGGGCACGATACAATGACACATACGATGAGGTGGTCGATGTACTAAGGAGACGATACAAGGATCCGCATACAGACGAGTGGTTCGCCGGAAACGCTGGTTTCCAGGAGGACCTTGACAGCCTCTTCACCAAGCTCAAGGCGCGCGAAGCAGATCTAGCAGAGATCGAGACACGAATCACCGATGAGAAGGAGAAATGGTATCGCCGCGCCCTGCGCGCTTCGTTACTCTGGGGTTTGGCAGAGAGATCGATAGGCAGGTCGGCCCTCACCGCCATTCTGGATGATAGCGAGAAACCATGGGACGACGTTTCGCAAGCTGTACGGGGCGCACTCCCCACGGTTGACGAAGCTGCGCCGACGGCAGACGATGTGCTTGCTAAGCTTGAGGGGTTAGGCCGGGAGGAGGACCGGGAGCAGCGGGGCGAGGTGCTCGCGGAGCTCTTCCTGCGCGACGCCACTAAAAGCAACGTCGACGGTGACGACCATAACCATGGAATACCAGCATCATGCATCCCGGCCGCCGAGGCATTGCGACATGGCGCGGCGCTGGATAACGTGATGGCGGATCTCGAGGCGAAGCGATCGGAGGCGGCAGGGAGGAAATCGGTGGCGGAGAAGCACCGACGGAAGCTCGCGGAGCTGCGGCGGGCGCAGGCAGCGCATTTGCAGGCTAAGAGCCTCAAGGCGCAGAAGCGGGAGCGCAAGCAGAAGGCGCCGCAGGTGGAGGATGCGGTGTACGAGAGCGTGCCGGAGGGGGTCTCGCTGGAAGATGTGCGGGCGTGCGCTCTGTGTCAGGTGTTTGCGGGCCTTGGGGTCGGTAAGGGGCGGAAAGTGTACGAGTCGGGGGCGGATTGCGAGACACAGCATGTGAGTTTACTTTTTCTTTTCTCTCCCCCTTTCTCTCTTTCTCCCCCCTCTCCTGGCGCAGTCTTTCCTTCGAGGTGGCTTGGTCAAAACATCATCGAAAATAGGACTAATGGAGTATACATAGGAGGAACACGTTCGCATGGACCACAGCTGTGCGGCGGGGCGAGAGTGCGTACAGTTGTCGGATGAAGACGTGGACATGATGGGCAGCGAGAACAGCGGAGTGGTGATATGTCGAGAGTGCGCCGAGGACCTAGACCGGGCGACGACATATTGCTCAGGGCGGTGCGCTCGCAGGGACTTCCAGAGGCATCGAGAGGATGTGCATGTTCCAGGGCGGAGGAAGCTGAGCAAGAGAGAAGTCGAGGTGGACACTAAAGACCTTGTGTTCGAAGACGAGGAGAAGACCAGGTACCACGTGGAGGACGTGAGCAAGTATGTGTGGAAGCTGGATGCGGCATTGGAGCGGTTTTTTACGAGCAGGAACCCAAATGCGCAAATTTTGTCTACGGCATGATGATTGTATGATAAGACAGACACAGGGGGTTCTTACATGTAAGGTACCTTACCTTTACCTTATATTCAGCCATACGGTATGTACCTGGGTGTAAGCTTGCTTTACGAAGGGAGACGGATATCTCGGCGGATACCTATGCTAAATACGTGGTCTAATGAGCCTTTGCACTTCTTTCCCTTCTTCTATACTACTCCGTAGGTACCTTATGGTAGGAGTAGTCCTATGGTCGAGTACGCCTTCCCATGTCTGTCCATTATTCGACCTCGTTAAACCAATAGGGCCGTTTGTTACCGGAAGCACTTGCCTACAATGGGGAAACATACCCAGGGCAATGGCAAGAACAACCTACCGGTTCTAAGTTCTAACCTCACAGCCGCAGTTCGCGAACCCTTCTACCTCCTCCATCATATAAATCAGGAGCAGGAGCAACCCCCGACCTTCATGCCAACCCCGGCACCGGCGCGGGGTCCCTCGCTGCGGCTCCACAGGAGGTACCCACTTTGGTATTAGCTCCGAAGTGCATCGGTGCTTTTACGGAGTGGAACGAACGCTAAACCGTTCTCTTTTTCCCACCGCATCTAGGCTCACACATGTCGCAAGAACGCCTCTTTCCCATGTCTCTATGCTGTATTCCACCCTTTTCCCCTGCAGACATGCTTCAGAACTCTCTAAAGTGACTGTTACAATCGATCTATACGTGTAAATTCGTACTGACGGAGCTGACGCCAACCCACCCAACGTTCGATACGGCATAAAACCAGCTCGTAGTTCAACGGCGCGTCGACTTCTTCACCTCCACCTCTTCCAAAATGGACTTGGCCCAGGGAGCAGGCGTCTCGACGGCCACCACCAGCAACAGCAACGGCAGCTATAATGGCACCACCGCCGCCAGCTCGGACACTGTCGCCCCGAGGTCAAAGGTCAACAGTGCCTGCGAGGCCTGTAGACTTGCCAAGGTCAAGTGCCAGCCCAGTGATCGAAGCGGCGTCTGTCGAAGGTGAGTGAGCCTTCGCATATTCGGAGCGGAGTCCCCGTCCCCACGGCCCCGTCCCATCTGCATCCGGACTGCTTCTAAACTACCCTTGGCCTGTCTCTAGGTGTCTCGAGTTCAGGCGCGAGTGTGTTTTCCGCACCGGTCCTCGAACACGCCGTCCTCGCCAGTCGAGACTGTAAGTCCTCCCCCTCTCTGCCCTTTCTTTCCAACCGGCCTCAGTTTGGGACTTTTAGACGAGGTGATGGTGACAAAATTACTCACTGGCCCCAGGAATCACACAGCTCCCCGTCGTCCTCCCCCTGCGGGGCCCTCCCAGACATTCAGTATCAACTTTGACATGCCCGCTCCGGACAACGCTTGTCCTGCCGCACTGGAGTCCCTCGCCCATCGCCACGCCTCTTACATCGACAGTCTTCTTCCCCCCGATGATACTCACATTCACACCCCCATGTTCGACGACCTCATGTTCAACGCCCTTCACTCATTCCATCACCCCGGAGGCTTCGCCCCGAGCCCTCCCCGTTCTCATACATCGTCCTCCCACTCTAATGACCGTCCTCCATCAAATACAAACTCTGATTATCACTCGCATGCTCACTTGTCTCCTTCTGGCACATCCTCGTCCTCTTCCAGAGATGCTGCGGCCGGCACCCCTGGGCCATCCTTGGGGAACAGCACCGCCGTCCCTTCCACCGTCTCCATCTCGTCCATTGGCCTCAAGCCACAGTTCAACCTGGACTCGGCGTCCCGCCTCCTCGACTGCTTCAGACAGATGGTCCCTCATTTTCCCTGTATTGTTCTCCCACCAGGCGCCACCGTCCAGTCCCTGGCCAAGTCTCGCCCGTTCGTTCTGCTCGCCATTCTGTCCGTGGCTTCGGGCGCCGGCTCCCTCCAGGGACACACGCTGTACGACGATGAATTCCGCAAGATTCTCGGTCTTAAGTTCGTTGCGTGCGGTGAGCGCTCCGTCGAATTGCTTCAAGGCCTCCTCATTTACTGCGCTTGGTGAGAGTTAGACCCTACCTGATCATGAACAAAGCAATAATTAAGCTGAGCATGTGCTGACAACCTTTTCCTTCCCATCTCTCCACCGACCAGGTATCCCTTCCATCTAAGGCCCAAGAACAAACAGGCCTTTCAGTATGTCCGAATGGCCGCCGAAATAGCACACGATCTAGACCTCGTCCAGCCGCCAGCCGAGACCATCGTCACCGCAGACTCCCCCGTTACCCCTGAGCAGATCGACGGCATGCGCACCTACCTATCCTGCTACTATCTTGTGTCATCGTGCGTTCCGCTGCCTTCCTGGTGCTCTCCGCCATAGAAATGTACTGACGGCGGCATAATCGCAAGTTTTGTTGCTACTTGGGCCAAGTTCTCTGCCCTTGGCCTCGAGTATACGCAATGGACTTCCATCTGCTGCGGCGTACTGGAGCGCCGCTCTGATGTCGAGGGAGACTCCACGTTAAGCTGGCTCGTTCGCTGTGCCCATATCATTGAGGAGACGTGCAAGCTTGACCGTCCCGGTCCTGACGTTGATGATAAGAAATCCCGCTTCATGCTGCTAGGTCTTGAATCCCAGTTCCGCGAATGGTGCAGCAGGATTCCTTCGACTTCCATGCCAAGTGGATGTATGTACTCAAAGACCGACCTCCTCCAAATCGGACGAAGGGCTATTGGACCGAATTGTGAAGCCTCTCCTATTCTCTGAGAATAGCGGTGCTGACTTGACAATGTGCTAAAGCTGCCCTCCATATCATGACAGGTTTCACCGAACTATACCTTTACGCCTCTCCCCTTCTCCGCTTGGGCAAGCCAAAGAAGGCTCAGCCCGGCCTATGCGGTGCACCACTGGAAATCGATCCTGATCGCCTCTTCCATGCGCTTCCGATTCTCCGCCGCCTCCTCGACGCATTCGCCGCTCTGCCGTCCTCTGCCTTGATCCCCCTGACATCGATTGACTGGGGGAAGTTTGTCCAGGTGACAATACTGGGCCTTCGTCTGTCAATGCCCCTTCCCGGGTGCCCTGCCTGGGACGACGCTTTCGCGCGGCAGCAGCTCCGGTTCGGCGTCTTCTTGGGGCGTTTTAGCCAGGGGGATGGACGCGAGACGAAGGGCTTGATGCCTCCAGGCGTAGCGACAACCGGTACGAACGTGGTTGCCGCCAGTCGTATCGTTTTTGGCGTGGTGCGGCAGAAGTACGAGGGCAGATTGGCGAAGCTTGGGCAAAATAAGCCGGCGCCGAAATCCGCGCTCGATGTGCAGAGTCAGCCACAACCCGATACCTCATCGGCAGCTCAGGATCTAGCTATGACGATCCCAACAGCAACGAGACTCCGCGGGTGTCCGATGTTGGATGGCAGCCTCGACGGGTACATACCGATGTGGGACCAGGACCTTGAGGCACCGCCGATGCTGTCGGGACTCCTGAGCTGGGAAAACCTTGAGGGAGGTCTTGATGCAGGTGGCTTGTCCGGCATGGACGCTGGGGACACCCTGCTTCAAGATATGTGGACAACCACCGGGTGGCCACAAGGAGAAGAAATGAGTTCTAGACCTTCGGATCCAAGAGACCCGGATAGGATATGATCTAGTCATGGTTCTAGGTTAAACCCGGTGTACACTTGACATATAAGAACGGACCGGATGAGCCATGTTGGGATAATGTTGGGCTTCATTTGGTCGGTGAATAACAGATGGGAGTTCACGGCTGGGCTACATGCATGCCTCCGGCTCTGGCTATACGGATCTTGGAGGCATCTGAACATGCCGGACTCCGCACGACAGCAGACCTGCACAGGACAGCTGCCGATGAAATAAATGAGAGTTTCTTCCTAGACCAAGCACCTGGGGGGTTTTTTCTTCTTCTTTTCTTTTCTCCGATCAATGTCCGCGAGTGTCAGGGAAGAAGGTCTGGCAATTTGGGGCTGACCTTTTCATCCTGACATTTCCGACTCCCCCCTCGGAACTTAGACCGTCGGTTCCAAGGGAGGTTCAGATCGTGATAAAGGGAACGAAACCATAATACTTCGTAGCATGCTTCTTGTTTTTCATTATGATTCAAGTGCCATCCTAGACGAATTCCACTTTCGCACGACCGAAGAGGTCTGCGAAATATTGAATGATCTGCCCCACTCATTTATCATATATCATGAACTCCACGTCTCAAGACATATCCCGAAATTCCAAATCACTCGCATCGGACCCATTCGGGCCATGCATGTAATACCTGTGATATTCGCTAGAGATAAAAACGGATACATACCTCGTCCAGGTACTGGATCCGAGTTCCCGCTCGGCCGACGGATAGCCTTCGTGGCTCTTCAACATGGCTCAGGGGAAAGGCAAGGTTCATCGCCGATCCCAATCAACCCCTGGTCTCCCCGATCCAAGGCAACGACCAACGACGAGTCAAAGCGGCATGACGAATGTAGGAGAGAGGTCAACATGACGAAAGAAAACCAGAAGCCAGCAGGTCTCGTGACCGAAGGTGTGGTAACACGGATCAGCATCGGAAGAGTAGAAGAATGGGAGCACAGGAAGGGGGGCGGAAGGGGGGTGGGGTGAGACGCGGGACGGAGCGTGTGTGCGTGAGTGTGCGAGAGAGGGGCGTGTGTGTGTGTGTGTTATCCGAGCCTCGCCGTATTTGTACGAAGTAGCGTAAGGTAGGTATAGTATCCGTGGACAAAGTCAGTATTCTCTGCATCACGAGGTGTTTGGGACCTGGTCGGTATCCGTATGACTGCTGAGTACAGAGAAATTAGTTGGCACTCACTATGATACTGTGTGACAAGACAATAAAACTGTGAGACTTTACTGTGTCCCGACATGGCCCCACCAGTCCCAACCCCAAGCGCCGCTCCCTCACCGGTGTCTCCACCACGGTGAGGCCCGGCCCACTCGAGCTTGCATACGCCTCTGCATCTGGTACCACCCACACTCCCCCCCACTCACATCTTGAAGACCTGTAACAAAAATTTCATTTCCATCGACAAACCACAAGTCTTTCCGGTTCTCATCTGGTCTCCATCTCCCTATATCGGGTCCTGATATCGCCTCCACTTATGCCTGTCATGAACTTGGCAGAAGTGGAAAGCAAGACAGAGACAGAGACAGAGACAGAGACAGGGAGTTTGTCCCCATAAATCACTGACATGCAGCCTGACCAAGAGGTTCGTTTTACTCGGCCACTCTCGTCATCTCCTGCCGCCGCATCGCGTATCGACGGCGCACGTCTGTCATCTTTAAGAGTGGACCTTCTACTCCTGTTCCCTGTTAATTACCTGTCACCTCACCCCACTTCTAACTGCATGTATGTACCAACACACGAAGCAGAAGTTCTAGACCGCCCATTGTCAAATGCTGAACGGACTTCGCGCACATTCTGTATAAAAAAAAAATTCGGTCTCCTGAAGAGACCCTGAATTATGACCCCACACTGTACTCCTTGTGGCACCCCGCCTCCAAAAAATGCCCCTCTCTGTTGGTTCGCTCGTCTCGCCAGCCTTACCCGCCGAAGTGATATTTCGTACGAAGTACATCGCCTCGCGCTCTTGGCTTGCCTCGTTCCCATCGGGTCATCCCGTACCCGCAAACTCACCGAAGTTAAGCTTATCCCATGACCTCCTTTTCTTTTTCTTTTTTCGAGACAGTTTTCCAAGGTGGTGTGCTTATGTTATGGGTCGGTGCCATCAAGGATTTGGCTCACAAGTGACCGGGACAAAACTTTCAAGCTAAGGTACATACCAAGTGAACGAAAGAGGTCGCCGGGCGGGAAAGCCAAATCCACTTAGGCGGTAGAGGAACGGACAAGTCTCGGCTGCGCTTCGGCGACATAAGCACGACATGGCAATTCACAGACCGAGTCCGTGTTGTTATATAGTCTGTATCTGTAAGCTCCTCGCCGGCCTAAACCTCCCAGCCTTAAGGTGCCGCCTCGGCACAGCAGCAACAGGCCCGAGTTCCCTGGGACGAGACGAAGGGTCTCGACCGGCAGGGATTATATGACTAAGGAGAGAACACCGTGAGTTGCCCCCCCGCGCCAGGGGGGGGGCGAGGCATGGGGTCGAGAAGGACTGAAGGTAGGCATCCTGGTTCGCCGTCAGAGCCTACAGATTCTACATCCCTCTATTTCGCCTCGGGTGCTCTTCGCTCGCAGTGCATAAAGGAGTGGTCCATGCCAACCAACATGCCAACAACCTAACAACTCCGCCAACCAAAGCTCCTGCTGCGCGTCCACCTCCTAAGGCAAAGGAGAAACCCAGGCTACAAGGCAAGAGGTCGGCCGGTCAACCAGCCACACAACATGCGCCATGGACGGGGTATTTACTTTGTATGCCTTCGAGCCGAGAAATGTCTGGGTGACCTGTCCATCCCTCCCACCCCCTTCTCTCGAGTCTGCCCATTTTCACCCGCTGTCACTTGAGGAATACACCCCTCGGCACAGGGTGTTTAGTCTTGTGCGTTTTCGACAACGGAACACTTGGAAAGACAAGATCCAAACAAGAATATATTACTCATCATACCCGCTGTATTATTCCCGACGGCTTGTTTGCCCTTATATGCCCATCCGAGGCACCATGCGCCATGAAACATGATCCCTGTGAAGGGACGGGATAAGAAACCTGAATCGCGCTCAAATGACAAGTAAACGATGACAAGGAATGTGACTCCTGTCAAGCCAAAGAAACGAGGAGAGTCGATGATGAGGAAACAGTAGCACCAGTGCTATGGCCCATACATAGTCTTACTCCCCTCCTCGTCCTTCTTTCCGGCCTCCCCTTGTTTTGTCTTGAACGAATGCGCCCATTCCCGTCATCTATGCCGAAGAAGAAAAAGAGAGAGATAAGAGAAAATGAAAATAAAAGAAGGAAAGAAGCAAAAGCGCGCCAACCCTTCTCTTCTCCTCTTTTCCCATGCATGCACCATGCTCAACCGAATGACAATGCCGCGTGATTCCCAGTCCCAAGAGAATGGAAGAGGTAGAAGAAGGGTTCTTAGAAGATGCGGGTGATGCTTCGTGTCCGTCTCCCCCTTACTCCGTAACAACAATCCGACCAGTTTTGCCTTGGTCAGTAGCCGACACCCGAAATTCCCGGCCACGTCGTCTCCCGGGTGTTCTAGGACCTCGTTCAGACCGAACAGTTGTTTTGAATGATCCGCGACGCTTCTTCATGTAGCTTTTGGCCGTTATGGCATCCGTACTCTTCCGTGCTTTTCGACAAAGTTTTTTTTCTCGTTTTTTTTTTCTCGTTTTGGTTTGGTTTGTTTTCCCTTTTCGAACCAGAATTTGTGACAGGGGCGATCGGTATCCGATCACCTCAAGAGGATAGAATCGCTTTCGTGCCATGTCGCATTAGCTGCTTTGACGTCGTCGTGGACCCCTTCTCGGCGCTTTCCCAAGGCAGTTAAAGGAATGATAGAACGCCGTCCGCAAAGAAAAGAAGAAAAAAAAGCAAGGAATCGCTTATCCCGTATCTCCCTGGCTATGAGGTTCGCCCCGTGTTTAATCTTTCCGTTGAATGTGTGTCGCCTTTCCCATGCCCCTAGCTTCAATACCATGCCTTCCAGAATAAATTGCAGCTCCTGCGCCAAAAGGTGGGGGCGAAATACGACAAAGAAAACAAAGAAAGAAAGACAGCCAAGACGAAAACCAACTGCCTCGATGAAACCTGAACGCCGGCCAAGTATCATCAAACATAGTCGTCCGAATCGCATCCATCGCCAAAGCTGGCCGCTGCTCAGCATGGGCAGTGCCGAATTCGTAACGGCAGTTGAACCACGGCCGAATGAGAGACGCCAACCAACTACTAAGCTTGGTCAAGGCCGGCAGCTAGTTGCCGATGAAAAATGCACATGTGATCTGATGCATCGACAAATTTCGGAGGCTTTCTGGATAGTCCCGAGGTGCCGTTCCTGTTGAAATGACAGGTGGGAGGGGAAGAAAGGAAAACAAAAAGAAAACATAAACCACAAAAGCCCAAAAACCCAAAAACCCACGAAATGACAACGCTCACTCAATGACCTGGAGATTTCTGGCGATTGGTATCGGGATCAGTTATCGGCCCATCATGTGCGACGGTATGAAAATGTAAGAATTTTGGCCGTTCACGCCTGAGTTCGGCCCCCCGAGTGTCATGGGTCCATTGTCGTACGCAGCCCAGGCAGGGCTGGGACCGCCAGCGGCTGGGAAGCCAGCAGGGGTACCTGCCTGACTGGTAGATGGCCCACCACCATACCGGCCGTGACCTAGCCCAGGAGGGGCAGCAAGACCAGGAGGGGGTCCGTTGGTGGCCATGAAGCCGCCCGATGGTCCAGGCATCATGCCGGTCATGGAGTGCCCCGCCCCTTGCCCCGTGTTCTGGCCCGATCGCACGCCCAACGGGTTCTTGGAGAAGCTGAGACGAATTCCTCCCTTCGCCGTGCTGTTATGGAGGGGGCGGCCATATAATTCAGTCAGCGCCTTGCTGGCACACGCGATGTCCTCGAACTCCACGAAGCACATAGGACCGTTGTGCTTCGTCCTGAAGCAAAGCCGTTTATAGCCTCGCTGTTTCGAAAACATGGCCTTGAGCTCCTCCTCCGACGTGTTAATGGGCAGGTTTCCGACATAGAGAGTGTTGCAGGGAGGGTTCCGGTCTGCCGGGTTGATGGCGGGCAAGGGGGGGTGACCACTATGATGAGGGCTGCCCATGGCGAAAGGCGCTCCGTGACCCCCACCGCCATGAGTGGCGGTGGGCGACATGGCAGAACGGTGACCGGGAGGTAAAACATTGTGGTGGCCGTACGGTGGCAGGGAAGACGGGCCGGGGCTGGGGCCGGGGCCGAGATTGGTGTTCAGTGACAAGCTGGCCAACTGGGAAATGGGCAACTGAGGAGCTGTGGCTCGTCTCTGAGAAGTGGACGCGCCGTTCTCTGCGTATGCGACGGGATCCTTCAGGAGCTCGCGCGTTTCGTCATCGTCCACCGAGTCGTGCGTGATCAGCGACTTTCCCGAGATGCGTGGGAGGTCGTTAAGGTGATTTCCGATGGGAGAGTGCGGGGAAAACAAGTCCCGATACCGTCCGCTATTCTCCGGGCTGGGTAGTTCGTTGTTGAGCGCGAAGCTGTTGACCATGTGCGGCGAGAGGCTTCCCATCCCTGAAAAGGCTCCGCTGAAGTGAGCACCACGTCGCGAAGCCGGCGCGGACGACCCTGTCGAGGAAGAGTCGGCGCTTGCTGTACCAATTTGCGCCTCGCTCGCGTAGTTCCTCGAGGCACCCGCCAAGTCAACGATATCCACAAGCATGTTCTGCTTTCCGTCAAGCCTATTCTTCGCCTCCATGGCACCGGCAGCTGATCGGAACTCAACCTTGGCGGAACCGTACTGTTCTCCGGGGGTTTCCGGTAAAACCTCCATGTCCACTATCTCGTCCGACCAGAGCACGAGCAGGTGGAGTTGTTCTAGCGTTATCCCTTTGGGAAGCTGGCAAATGATCACAGTGGTAGGAGACTCTGTTGGGAGGGCCTGCAGCACCTCGCGATCAAGGGACTGGGTTGGGGGATTCGACAAGGTATAGGGACGCTGGAGCGCGTTTGGTCGCAAACGACCCGACAGGTGCGGGTATCCCGCTGCGGCCATCGTCATGGCTGGAGTGGCCATCGAGGACAAGGAAGTCGAAGTGGGCGCCGATGTTGGCGCTTCCGTGGTCGTTGTTGGGGGGGGAGGGCTCGTGCGATTCGGGTTCATCGCAGGAGCGGCGCGAATCAGAACTGATGTTCCCGAACCCCAGGTGTCGGTCAACAATCAATGAAATGGGTTTTTGAAAATGCGCCGAGATATCGCGGATATTGGCGACAATGAGCCCTAAGGAATTTTCGGACGTGAGACTTATGCGACGAGGCTATGCGACGTGTATTGTTTGTTTGGTATGTATAAATCTTGACCAAGCGAAACACGCGATAACGCGATACAATGGGTTTGAACGCCAAGACGCGCAACGATGAAGATATGATGTAGGGTACCAATGAATGTGCGGCGAAAATGAACAGAGGGGTATTATGGAAGAGCACGGTACTGTGGTTTGTTGTGAAGAGGGGGGAAAGCGAGTAGGTGGGAAAGAAAGAAAAAAGCAATCAATAAGGGAAGAAAAAAAATGGTGATGCGAATGGATGGGGGTGGAAGAATGCGGTGATGCGGCGAAATGGGAGGGGGGGAAGAGGCGTGGGTGTTTTAGTGATTGAGATGAAGGCGCTGCAAGGGTTTTGTATTGGCTCTTGCACACTTGAGGTACAGTACCTAAGGTATCGAAGAGGGAGGTAGCCTTGAGGACGAGGACACAAGGGGGGTGGGAGGAGAAGGTGGTGGGAAAGGTATTGTACATACCTAAGGTACTCTGTATTACAACATAAGGTCCAGGAGAGGGACGGCAGTAGGTATCTACGTACTTTAGTACCGACGAGGGAAACAACCAAGAAGAAAGTGGGAAAGAGAGAGTGACAAGGACGAATGAAAAGGGGGCTGGGCGTAGGGTGCCTACTCTTGGGGTAGGAGGTTGTCGGGCTCACTTGCTACGTCTCTCTTTTCAGTGACCTTGGGTTTGCTGGGTCCCTTGGTGGCTCTGATTCGGGCGGTGTTCCGGTTATCTCCAAGGACCACCCCAAGAAAGTCAAGGTGTGCTGGGCTATGAGCTAGTGAGCTGCTGATGGGGCTAGGGTCTAGTGGGGTTAGTGGGAGGGAGGGGAGGGGTGGGAGGGGAAAGGCACCACCTAACCTTAGTGGGGCTGGTTCTACTCCAGTACGAAGTAATCAGTTGGTCTAGTCCGTACTCCGTACGCTTGCCGGGGCTTATCGAAGCTTGAATGACAAGGTGTCCAATGGGACGTCGGCAAGGATCACGACACGGTATCGGAAAACCTGGGGGGCCAGGGCTGCGTGCTTCGTAGATCAGAATCCGCTTAACGGGGAGCGACAGGATCCGGCGAGGTACTGGGACGTGTAGACCATGAACGTCTGGCCCAAGGTAAGGTCAGCTTTGGTGCACGCAGCACACGGTCTTGACTTGACTCCTCTTTAGGACCAGGACCAGATAGCAAGGTCTGCGGAGAAATGCAAGATGAGTTTAAGAGGTGCTTACTGCCGTACCTTCTGTTCTTTTTCCCCTCTCTCTTTCCCAGAGTTTGGACAATGCGATGATGAACATGCAACGTGGTAAGCGTCCAACGCTGTCTTCGTTTATTACTGTCGCTGTAGTTGTGGTCGTGTCAGTTCGGCAAGATTGTAGAGCGGCAGACTCGAGCCTTTTATACTGCTGTTGACGAGCCCCAATGACCCTAGAGGCAGCTTTGCGGCGCGCGTGACGTTGAATGGCAAGGCCGATGAAGAGCATTTCGCCACGAGAAGCTAGGGAAGGGGGCTTTAGGCGGCGGATCATTTGAAAACCGAGGTGCAATGACGCGAGAGTTGTGTACGAAATACATCGAATACATCTACCTTATATACAAAGACGAATTGGCCAAGTTTCGATACTGAGGGAGCAGAATCGGGATGTACCAGGGAGTCGTAAGATGACGATAGGTGGGATGCGAGGGAAGGATGTCAATAATTACAGAGTAGGCTGTGGATGAAGACTCAGTAGTGACGGTATCTGCAGAAGGAAAAACGAAGGCAATTCGAGAGAGTTTGATAAAGAGCCCATGCCGCCATTTCTGTTCGTAAAAAAAAAAAGCTGTGGTGGCATGTATATTAGGCCGTATGGATATCGTGTCTATATTCAAAGTGTATGCACATGGCTTTTACGGCGGCTCTAGACTAGATGACTAGGGAAGATGGGGGGAAAAGGGCAAAAAAAGAAATAAAGAAAGGGCTGCAGGGAACTGCAGACGGTGTACCACATATCTCCGGATTAATTACATTAATTACATGCCACTAGGAATGTTACCCAGCCCAGTTTGGCAGAATGACGAGGTGAACGTACAAAATCGAGGCGTTGGACTCGAACGCCTGTCGTGATCGAGGTGCTTTTAAGAAGACGAAAGTTGGAGTAGGTCCTGAAACGTACTTCGACAGACAAAAAAAAGGGTGGCGGGGGGAGAGAGAAAATAACAAGGCCTAATAAATGATGAGAACGCGGAATCAGGGGAGTCAGTAATTATACAGTAACCGACGGTGACCAAGGTGGACAGTCTCCAGGAAAAAAGCCTACCTTAGACGAACGAAGTAAGGTAGGTGTTTGTGTTTGTACGAAGTAATTGTACGAAGTGATTGTAGAGTGACTAAGCTTTTGTTGGCGCACCGGAGTCAACTTTATTTTCCATTTCCCCTCCTTTCTCTTTTCCCATCATGGATCATGTCCCATACGTAGGTACACATCATCGCTACCTAAAGTGCTGAATGCTGAAAGGCCTGTAAAGCCGAGATCCTGACCAGCTCCAAGCAGAGTGGCTAACGAGTTGTCTACCTTATATGCCGAGTTGTGGCTGCTGGAGCTAATACCAATCGAGATGCAAGTACCGCGATATGGCTTTTACGGAGTACTAAGTACACCTCCTGTCTCTCCGTCTCTCTCCATCTTCCCCTCCTCTCCCCTCTCCATTGATTTTTCCCCTTTTAACCTTACAATGGCGCCATTGCTGCCGGGACATTGATTGCTACGTATGTACATTGTACGCTGTAAGCCGCCCCTCAGAAGCGCCAGCGTGCAGGGGTTAGTTACCACGGTTCGGAGGAAACCGGTGAGAAAACACGGCCAGAAGCTGCGGGTCGTGGCTAATCAACATCAGAATCCGGTTCCGAAGACTCCGTTTAGTCCCTCATCCCCCCAGTCTCCCCAATCCCTCCCACGTTGTTACCATCGTGCCCATCGAGCCTACAACGTACACCTCAGTCGGACTGCGGGTATTAAAACCACTAATCGCTACTTACTCAGTACATGGGCGTCCGTCCCCCATCCCTGGCCCCGGGCTCCTGGGCCTGCCTTGGATGCGTCCCGTCATGGTACAGCAGCTACAGAGCGTTGCCTACATAAGGTAGGTACTCGTTCGGAAGTCGTAAGGACTCCCGATTGCTCGAGTTCACAGGGATGACTGAAAAAGTTCCGCGCGATGCGGAACATGTGACCGGCTCGGACGCAGTAGTTGATCACTGGGTTCTTGGGGGTTTCAGGTTCTTACATACACACAAAGTACGGACACAATCGTTGACTCGTATGCAGACGGATGCGGATCCTTATCGTTTCCGTCAGGGACAGATGCCATTGCCGCAGCTAAACAGACCCAGACTCTGTCGGATGCAGGTACCTTTCTCTAGCCTTCTCTACCTTGGTGGGCGGCTCTCTCTTGACGCGGCCGAGCGAAGTCTCTGCATCTGTCTCCTCTGGGATCGCAAATCCCTTTCTTCATGATCCGCTGACGTGCAGCAGACGAGCGGGGGAAGAGAGTCGGTTTGAAGCATTGAAAGTGTGAAGAGAGAGTCGGTGGGGCCTTGCAGTGAGGTTCCTCCTTATTAGCAATCAACAGCATGTGTGAGTTGCGTCCTAAATAATAATTAAGGCGTGTGAAGAAGCAGTTGCGAGGTGATTGCTTGCAGCCAACTCAGCCCATTCCTTAGGTCACTCGGGACCAATCAGCGTGTGCGTCCTTGGTCCGAGATAATGGAGATGTGGCATCCCTCCAAACGAACCCAGCCAAGATACAAGGTGTACGTTGTACACCCTGCGCCCGCCAAAGTTATGGATGGGTCGTGCAAGGGTATCCCTGTCGTAGAAACAACTCTTCCGCTTCGTAAAGTACCTGGTACGAAGTACTCCATACGAATTACAATACCTTACGTTACCTTATGAAGAAAGCTCAAAAAAAATTAATAAACCCCCAAAGCAACCAAAAACATACAAAGCATGCCTCTGGATAGACTCGAACTACCTTACTCTGTAGGATACGGGCGACGATGGAGAAACAACGACCAAGTGCGGTAATGCAGGTCGCATGCCGAAGGCCCCGCAAAGTACATTTACCACGGGATGCACAAGTACCTTACACTTGGATCTTCAAGAAATACGCCGCTTATCCTAAAAAAGAATTCTGTGTCGAGATGCATCCAGGGTACCTGATTACGTTGTCTCGTCTGCAATAACCCACAGGCTCCATCCTCCGTCTGACGTAGTTTTTTCTTGTCCTTTTGTGTCGTGACCTGGGTTCGTGGTGGGATGGATGGCTCTCAGCCGGGACCCCTAATAACCTACCTTACCGTAAGATGGCTATTTTCTGGCTCCCGACCGACAATATCATGAAGCGATTCTTCAGCTTTGTCTCCCGACATATGCGCCCTATTCGTACTTCGTAGGGGGGCGCTTTCTATACGAAGGATTCCACCTCCACAACTTTATCAACCCAACATCATAGCATCCATCACCACTTCCGCCATCCAAGCTTCTTCTCATCTTCAATCGCCGAAACTTGCTTCGAGGAGCCATCTGCCGCTCGTGTTTCCCGCCACAGGGGTGGGGGCCCTCACGTACCTGTCAAAGCCCTTCACACTCCCATGTCAACCATGCTTATCGACCAGTAGGGCGATGGATATATCCGTGTATATATCCGTGTGATTGCGACGATTCCGGGACTTCCATCCTGCCTAACCGACGAAGCGTTCTTTGGAAACGACCGGTATGCCCTGTACGGATACCTCAGCGCTCTAATCACCTTCCGTCGACATCAGTTGCGTCCTAAGAGAAGTAAGTTCTCAAAACCTTACGGGTTACTTCGTAGTTAGGAAGGGGATCTCAAATCTCCTTTGCCCTGGAGCTGGAGGTCAGCTCAGCAAGTTCCTGAACGCTCCTGAACACTGAACAAGCCCCACGAGCGGCTCGCAAACCCACAACCACAACCAAAGCTCCAGTTCCATCTTGCATCCCTACCAACCTACTCCATTCACCGGGTCGTTTCTCGTTAGTGTAGATTCCCCGCTCCAACACACGTCGCGGGTGTTGGGCTTAAACTGGTTCCGTTGATCCCCATAGCAAAACTTCCCCGCCCTCATCCCTGGCGAACGATAGACCAAGTGGGCAGTCCAGACCGGTCTCAGTACACCACCGCCCACGCCGTCGGCCGAGAAGCTTCTTCGATCTAGCGCGTGCCCGTGCGATCGAAGGCTTCACCATAACGTCATGCTGGCTCAAAACGACTAGCGGACCGGGGTAGCGAACACTTGTCCTCCAGTTGTTGTTCCCGGATTAGTAAATCTGACTCCACTCAAGTGGAAGGAATGTCACGATCACGAGACGGTAACAAAGAACCCAGGTCTTCGGTGTGCCCATGCTCAATCCGGAGTCCAGAAGCACACATCATCTGCTTTTTGGCAAGAGACGAAAAACCACGGGTGTTGAATAGAAAGAAGAAGAAGGATGATAACATCCTCACTTGGCACGCCGAACCGTTTTGACCACTCCCCTCGGAACTGATCCAAGATGATTAATAATGCAGGGCCCACGGAGTTTGAGGACTAATGTACACGTGTAGTGTACGTGTACAGGCGGTTTGTCCTGATATCTCCGACTCTCGGAAATCCCCCGGTTGCAGGGAACTAATTATGGACTGATATGATAACATCCCAGATCTCCGAGTCCCGAAGTAGACACCTGGGGCCCCCAGGCAGACAAGCCACCTACCTAAGTTGGCCTCAAGTCTTCACGAACTCGGAGGCCCTCGTGCGACCGCGGAAACGGACCGGGGAAGGTGGTCGCATCCTCAGATGCAGCCAGTCCTGTCAGCTCACCACTCTTATATAGCCGCAGATTCCGACTCATTCGTGCGCGTGGGGTTGATCAGTTACGAAGTATTGCGGATACAGTACCTACACTGCAGGCAGTTTACACTACCTAGTCGTCATGAAGATCCTCGCCGCGTTGGTGTTAGAGAGCTGCGATCCAGGCTGACAGGGGCTCCACACTCCTAGAGCCGCTGTTCTCGCGGGGCAACTAGCATCATGGTCGCAGCCAACAGGGTGCCATGCCGCGAGGCGGAGGATGACTGGCGCACGATGCATGGACACTGCTCCTTGTCCCATAGAGACCAGACGTCTAGGCCGGCCTTTAGGGAGAAGCAGGAGCGAGACTGGGCGGAAAGTCTTGTGTACGAAGTAATTACTCCGTATGTGTACGAAGTACTCCGTATACGTGCTCCGTACTCTGTACGTTACACAGTCTTCATGGGGAGTGGAGACCTATAAAACTTGGCGTTATAGATCGTTTCTGTTATTCCATTTGGACGATCCGTATGGAGCAGAGGGCGAGCAGGGCTGGCTTGGCTGGTGGGCTAACCAACAACTTCCGTTGTAGAAAAACTCGGCATCGACATGTTGATATTGATACTGGGATAAGAGATGACACAAAGAACCAGGTCATGTCTGTAAAAAATCCTTGTGCGAGACAAAAATGGGGAAAAGGAGGATTGGGAGTGTAGTGTAAGCTTCGGGTTTGAAGGGGGCAACGTAATTACGGATAGATCGATCTTCCTTTGTGCCACTGCATCTTTTCCGTCCTCGTCCTATCTCTTACCTCTCCTCCCCGTCAAACGAGAGCCTTGGCCTTCAGGGAATATCCGTAATTATAGGGCTGGAGTAGAGCGAGAGAGGTACAGACCCCAGAGTACATCACGAATGTACCTTGCCGAATTTACATCCCCAATCTTGCGCCAGTTATCGCTGTACTAGGTATCTTATCTTTCACCGCTCCGGATACCCCTATCTTCACCGAGCGCACGGACCCAGAGAGATGACCATAAACAGAGTGAATCGTCGAGGTGGACGTCAGAGCCAGGGTCACAGGGAGAGGTGAAAATTATTCCGACAAAGGCATCATCAGATCAGTAGCACCGCACCTATACCTCACCCATTTATAATGGGATACCACGATCTCACAGAGACGGCGAAGCTGTCCCCTCCCATCGACACCTCCCAGCCCTACGACATAACCAAGGTAGTCGGCAAGACTATCCTCATCACGGGGGGGGCTCTCGGCCTGGGCGCCGCCTTCGCCCGGCACTGGGCCGCACACGGCGCCAACCTGGTCATCGGCGACATCAACGACACCGCCGGCGAGCAGCTCGTCGCCGAGTTCCGCACGCGGCACCCTGACGCCAGCCACCACTTCTTCCACTGCGACGTCACCGACTGGGACTCCCAAGTCGCCCTCTTCAAGGCCGCCGCCCGCGCCTCGCCGCATGGAGGCATCGACGTCGTCGTCGCCAATGCAGGCGTCAACTTGCCGCCCGCCAACTACCGCTTCGAGAACCCCCTGGCCGACCCTTCCGACCCGGACGCCCCGCCGCGGCCCGACACCCGCATCATCGACATCAACGTCACAGCCGCCATGCACACCGCCCACCTCGCCCTCTTCTGGCTCCCGCGGAACGCTCCTAGTCAGCTGAACCCGGCCCCGCGTGACTCGCACTCGTCGTCGCACTCGTCGTCGTCGTCGGTGTCGCCGTCGCGGGACCGCTGCCTCCTCCTCGTCGGCTCCGTGGCCGGCCTCTCCCCCTTCGTAGGCCAGGTCCAGTACACGGCCTCGAAGCACGCCATCACGGGTCTGTTCCGTGCCCTGCGCGGAAGCGCCTGGACGCACGGCGTCCGTACAACGCTGTTGTGCCCTTACTTTGTCAGCGGGTCCAACATGCTCCCGACTGCCATCGAGGCTGCTTTCCTCGCCGGTGGCGCCGGCGGTGCGTCCATCGAAGACGTCGTTGACGCAGCTACGCGTCTGGTAGCCGACGATGGAATCGTCGGCAGGGCACTGGTGGTTGGGCCACGTGTGGGCGATGTCGAGGAGGATGACGGCGAGGGCGCGAATGGCAGCAAGGAAACGAATCGGGGCCAAGAGACCAGGGCGACAACGGGTATCTGGGATTGCTACGCTGAAGATTACAAGGATGCCGAGACATTCATTTGGCGATGGGTGAGGATGTTGAACGCCGTGGAGAAGGCCAAGGGCGTGGTAGGCTTGGTCACGGACCTGGTGGCCATTCTTTTCAGGACGAAAAGAAGCGCGCGAGCCTGGTCGTAAGTCGTTGGGGGTCGTCTACCTTGAGTGATATCTACACTTGATTAATAGAGCCTGGATGGGCAAGTTTGTCCGTATCTCCCATCTCATCATTACAACAGTGTGAGCGTGTCTAGCGTGCGCCTTGTTTTCTCGGACCGCTGGTAGCTTGACCAGCTGAACTCCTGAGGCCTTAACAGCTTGGTGCCTAGTCCGCAAAGGCTTCGGCTTCTTTGGCATGCCGCTATTCAAGACACGCTGCTAGCTTCTCGGGTCATCGCTGGAGCAGGGCGTGCCCTTGCCGCGTCTTGCATCTTGCATGTTTGTGAAGCAACGTCTTCCCGTGACGTGGATTTTCCTCTCTTCTACATTTTCTCCAAGGGCGGGCCAAGGGGGATCGCGGATGTTTCCAAAACGGTCATCGCGGCAAGCACGAGAACGCCCAAGTGCGAGCAGTGACAATCTTGGAGCCCTTGCTGAAAGAAACGGACATGTGAAATTGGAATATCCACGCCACCACGGTATAGCGGAACAAAAAACGTCAGTGACCCATGTTGTACGCCCGACATATTCGTATTTTCGCAAGTTTCACAAGGGAGCTCACTAACTTTGTAGTTGGTTAGGGAATCCGGCCCCTTGGATGTTACTAGGCCGACAAACGCCCTCAGCGAAGGGAAGCTAACGGCTGTGACCACCACCGACTTATAGTAGTAGTAGTAGTATTATTTGACGTCGGGATATCTCTAAGAAGAGTAAAGGACGCCTAACGTGTCTCTCTTCGCTAAATAATAGATATTGTAACCGCGCAAAAGCGTCTTTGGTGCAAGGCTGCGGCTGATCACATAACCAAGGGAAAGGGGGTGGCACGACCATCCACCTGTATAATAGGTAGGATAGTAGCTAGATGGTCCCTCAGTGGGACCACCGATTTGGGCTGCTACCCGAACCTGACCACAATATATATCTTTTGGAAGAATGAAATACTAATATATGAACCCGGCGTCGATAAAACTGGTGATACGGACGGCTAATGGTGATAAACATGCCACACTTCCGCGACAAAGTACGAACGGAGAGAATAACTGATACTCGACATGGAACTTCGGATGATTATCGAGGCTTGAAAAAAAATCGCGATTGGACTAAAACCGATGCCAATGCATCGGCACAAAGGGGATCCCCCTGTCCGGACGAGTCTCGCGTGGCTTGACAAGGTGACACGTGGGGGCAAACCGAAGTAGGCTGCGACACAAGCAAACACGTCGTGCGCCATCGTCCCACGGCCCGATGCATCAATAGCCACATAGTACTCCGTACTGGATAATTTGAGTAATCACAGCTTTCGCGCTGCGAGCTCCTCGCATTGACGAGCCTCGCTGGCGGGTGCGGCTGACGTTGAGTGCCGCGAACAGATCATCCGGATCATTATGGGATGTTGACAGATATGTCCGCCCACGAAGGTGCCCCGGGATGAAAGACACCGAATGGACCTCCAAGGGCAAGCTCATGGGCGGTCTTGTCAGGGATTGCAGTAATCACGGATGGATCAGTGGGTACAAGGTCAGGCGGCAACGGCATCTTCTCTTGGTTGGACAACGGCGTAGCGTGATATGGAGTGATATGGAGGAGCCTTCGGATAGGTCCGAGGAGAATGAGACGTCAGCGCGAGTGCATTTAAGCCCTGGGCCATCGTCTTGGCAGTTGATGTGGGATGGTTGTGAGTATTAGCTCCTCTGGGGTCGATCCCATATTCGATTCCGCATCAGGTTCATTCATATCCGCAACTTCATATGTTGGTTGATCTGCTCGGAATTTCGACCGAAACGACGAATTTGAGGAGAGGTGGTCGTCGTCGTCGAATCACTGCTCGTTCAGCCCTGCTCAGTTCTCTTCATCATGCTATGCCGGACTTGCAAGCTCGATGTTGGTACTCGAAGTGGCCCCGAACTTGTCGTAATAGATCGGATCTCGAAACCCCCAAGAGATAATATAAGAAGAGGCGGAAATCAACAGAATGCGAATGATACGCTTGCTTGGTCCAGCCCCCCGTTCCCCCGTCTGCTTCTTCCCAGAACGAGGGATAGGATCATTATGGCAAGGAAACCACGCCTGCCAATGATGTAAGACAATTAACTGAATATGCACCGTGGGGTGGCTTGCAAGGCGGTTCAGTTGAGAGATTTGAGAGACTGTTCACGTATCTGGACCAAAGAACGTGGGGGCTTCATTAGTCGGGAGAAGATCGCGAACGCGACCTTTCGATGCCAATATAGCTGAGGCCTAATGTATTTTGAGTATTACGCGACGAGGAGTCGCTGGCATCGTGGTCATGGAAACATGGTCGGTGTTGTCAATTGGCAGATGCCAATAATAGCGTGCTGTGTAAGATGATTTCTCAGCTTCAGTGACAGCACCACTACGGCGGTCAGCCTTGCAAAATAGAACACGGATAATTCGAGTGTCCCTTTTTGGCTTGTTATTGACAGCAGTGGTCCAAGCTCGCTCACGTCTTTGAGCCGTCTCATCCCGTCGGCCAATCCTCTTTTCTTGCATGCTTCTTACCTCTAATTCGCCCCGAAGGAAGCCGCGCTACGCGGTTCATATCCTGGGTGGCCGAGCGATGTGAGAACGGGAAGGCCGCCTCAAAGCAGCACCGAGGTTGGAGGAGTTCGCCGATAGGGGTGTAGGTTTTGCGAAGACACAAGCCGGAGGAGGGACGACAGGCTGGCTGCTATGCCGCAAAGGAACACAAGAACAACGATAAGGCGAAAAAAGAAAAGAAAAATTGAAGGGTGCACGCCCCGTGATGTTACTTCGAGGCAATGCTCTTGAAGCTGTGCTTCACTCCGAAGTAGCGTATGAAGATATGTTTCGCGTGGGGTGATAAGACTTGCCCCCATGCACACATCCCCTGGACCTACTCGGTAGCAGATTCAGCAATGAGAAGGCGGGACGGATGGGGTCTCATGACCGAGCTCAATATTGAGATCTGGACAATCCGAGACTGCTTGGACCGGGCAACGAGGATCAAGGCGGGCATGTGGCGAAGGTCCCGCGCGATTCGTGGAATGGCACATTGCATATCGTGTCGTATGTGTCGTATGTGCATTGAGAGCTGCACGTTCAGCTCCTGCGAACGTCTTTGCGCCCCTCCTTGCAGCAGGACCATTTTAGGGCATTTGCCCCCCCGCCTTCTCCCTCTTAGACGCCAGCGTCCATTCGTGAAGAAAGCAGTCCTCGGGAGGTAAATTGCGTTGTGGCAATAGCTATCAATTCAGCTACAGGACCAAAACATGTGGGAAGAGAGTCTCACCCAGAGAGGTTGTCGTGATAGTTTGCGGTTGGAATTGTCTGCCGGTTATGGGGTGATTTTGGCGATGGGTGGTGGAAGAAGGGAAAATGGACGGGAAACCCCGCAACGGGCCTCGAACAGTCACCTTTTCCTGCTTTGTAGGGCAAAACGCAATGGGGCTTGGTGGGGTGTGCAGGCTCCTTCTTTATGTACTCCATAGTCGAATACTGCACGAATATTGGAGCCTGCCTCGCCTGCAATTCTTCGCCTAAGGTACATAGAACGTACCTTCAGGTTCGTATTTCGTGACCAGTCCTCCGTGCAGCTGCAAGGGGATCAGTGCCATAAGGTACCTTAGGTATCGTATTGTACCTGCTTCGGTAAATGTTACGAAGTTTGGCGGGGCAAGTGTTAGGTTAGCAGGCTAAGAGATAGGTACCCTATTCGTACGTTGTATATCACCGATGTACTTCGTACGAACTACCTTAGTAAGCATTAAATAAATGCTGGGACACACTCCGTGTACTGCGTCCGTACGAATACCTTAGTAAGGTAGTATCTGCCTAGTGCCTCTCGACCAACTGCCCTGGTGACTGCAAATGAAGTTGGTTCAATCTATCCCTCTGAATCGTCCGTGTTAAGACATGAGCACCAACATGAGCCAACATGAGCCAACGTGAAGGAGGGGATACCACAAAGCGCGAAGTACTACGGGGAGAACGTTACCGCAAGAGGGACTCGTCCTGACACTTGGTACCTCAACGGTCCTGGCTGGCTGGCCCTGGGGTAGCGAGGTCTATATACCTTAGTCCGGAGACCCCTGATGAAAATGCCCGGCCCGGCCATCCCACCCCCTTTCTAGTATCGTACGGGACATATCCGAGCGCGACAGTTGGGCGTGACAGAAGAGCAAGCAAACTAGGGCCGAAAAAGGACACCCACAAACAGGCTACTTTTTACTACTACTTTCGTAGTAATTGGCTAGGACCAGTGACACCTGGACGGTTATTAAGACCTTAGAAGGCGAGTATCCAATCGTTACAGTACTCGTTGGCTTGGACCTCGTGTATCTTGTTGCTTTACGTACGTTGTACCCATATACCTCGAGATGCCTACTCGTATAGTACCACTGACTACCTTGCCAACGGCCGTTCGTTCGTTCTTTTCTTCTTTTTCCTTTTCTTTTTATTTTAGATAGAAGAATACGCAAGACAGAAAAGGAAGCGGTGGGGGAGAGAGACGCAAGAAAAAAAAGGAAAATCGAGAGGAAAAAGGAGTTGGGGAAGAAAAGGAAAAAGCCAGGGAAAAACACCAGTACGTGTACGGTATAAAGAGGGGGAAAGAAAGGGTCCATCTTTCCGAGTATCTCCTCATCCCCTGCGCACCCCCTGCATTCTAGGTACTTCGTCCATTGTATCCGCACTAGCTTACCAAGGTACCCAGGTAGTCAAGGCCTTCTTTCCCATAGGCCTGCCTGCCTTCCTAACCGACTGGCCCAGCGTATCGGGCAAGGAGGCCACGACCCGTCCGCATTCTGGCCTGTGAGTCCTGCGAAGATCCTGAGAGATCCGTCATGTAGTCAGATGGCAGCCTGGATTCCTCAGACCCAAACCTCTTCTCACACTCTTTTTATCCTCTCAATTGTCCATTCATTTTCACCCATCCCACAAGTTCCCCTGGCAGTCTTACTCTCAGAGGAACGAACGGCCCTCATCCTCATCCTTCCCGTCCCCCCCCAGACACCACGACAGAGGAGTACAACGTACGCTGTAGGATTGTCGACGCGTGCAAATCTGGTCCCTCGGCCCACCAGAGAAGGTGTCAATTCCGGGACAACCTCCGTCGTCTCGATCGTCAGCTTCTTCCGCCTTTAAACCCCCTCCCTCGGACGGGCATATCGTCCCCTAAACCACACCATCCAATCCATCGATATCCTCCCCCGCGGCAACCCCTTGCGAGGAAAGGCAAAAAAAAAAAAAGGCCTTACCCTACAATTACCACCGCGTCGTCTCATAGGTTCCCTTTTATGCTTGAGAGCCCGCCTTCGATCTCTTCGCGGCCATAGCGCTGCATTTTTCGTCGCTTCTTCGGAAAAAGTCGACATTGCGGAAGAGACTGCCAGGGAGCGAACTCAAAACCCAGCTCAGCTACTCAGCTATCCGATCTATCCAAACCTACGGGCCTACGGCTGGCAGTCGGGCGACCATTTTGCGCATTTTATTTTTATTTTTATTTTTTATTTTTTATTTACCTCGACATCCTCACCTGGATGTTGACCGGCATTCCCGTCGATCTATCTCTCTTCCTAGACAAGCCGAACTTCATTTTGGAGAATTGCTCTAGAATCTCCCGACTTCGAAACGTTCTAGCGTAGTGCGTCAGCGCCATCTTAGTGGCCCTGACTCACCCTCCTCTTAGCAGTCCGTCCCATCTACAGACACCTTCACCGTCGACTCGCCATGTCTCGACACAAGCATCATCAGCCCTGGTACGACTGAACTTCTCTCTTTCTCTCTGCCCTCCACTAAACTTACCTTATGAACTCCCGATACTGACTACATCGCTCAGTCGTGAGCTCCATGTCGTTGTGCTGGGCGCCGGTAAGCCTACCCGCCGTTCCGTTCTCTCTTGTCGCCGAGGTTCACTTTCACATGTGAACTGACTATTTCCCCCTCCGTCTGCTCGGTCATATAGGAGGTGTTGGAAAGAGCTGTTTGACTGGTGAGTCCGTTCCCTCACTGATGCAGTCCCCGATTTTTTAAGCGCAACCGCTCATACATGCGGATCATCAGCCCAGTTCGTTCACAATGAGTGGATCGAGAGCTATGATCCGACAATCGAAGACACCTATCGGACTCAGCTTCAGGTCGATGTAAGTGAAGTCGTCTTTGTATATGTATTTAACCAATACTCGCTGGCTAACTCGTGCTGTCAAACCAGGGGAGACAAGTCGTCTTGGAAATGTAGGTCCAGCCCTGTTACCCAGGGTCCTGTCGCCTCTCTAACACGTACTTCCGCCAGTCTGGATACCGCAGGAACAGAGCAGTTCGGTATGTGACTTTTCTTCTTCTTTCTTCTGGGTTCCTGTTTTCGCATCATGAATTGTGGCGAGTGACACAACTGACTAATCCTCTGTGTAGTCGCCATGCGAGATCTCTACATGAAATCCGGCCAAGGTTTTATTCTCGTCTTCAGCATCACGTCTTCATCCTCCATGAGCGAGATCGAAATGCTGCGCGAGGAGATCACCCGCATTAAGGATGATGAGAATGTGCCTATCGTCATTGTCGGAAACAAGGCCGACCTCGAGGATCAGCGATCCGTCCCCCGCCAGAGAGCCTTCGCGTGTTCTCAGTCATGGAACGCGCCCTATTACGAGACGAGCGCCAGGACGAGGAGTAAGCCCGTCACCCGCAATGTCCTTATCCCCGTCATTTTCTGGCTCCTCGCCCGCTGACTTTTGTTTTCTTTTTCTCTCATCTCAGCAAATGTCAACGCCGTCTTCATCGACATATGCAGACAGCTCCTTTTAAGGGATGAAAAATACGGTGATCTCGATAGACTGAGCGATGACCGTGACTACGACAAGGACGGCATTATGGGTCTCGGGAAACGCAAGAAGAGAAGAACACGACGTCCGGATGGCAACCGTTGTGTCATTCTGTAAGCCGAAAACGGCCCCGGGCGGTACGATGGCGAGGCGCCACAAACTTCACGCGGGGAGAATTGTGTCTCTCTCGGGTGTTAAGGCTTGAGTGAGACACGGCTCAGTGTGGCATGGCGACTGACACAGGGGTCGGACTCGAATTATGAGGGAGCAGCGCTCTTACGACATGACAGAAACGAGACGGGAAGAGGTAGCAGAAGAAGGGGAACGAAGCGAAAAAGAAGAGAAAAACAAAGAAAACAGAAAGAAAAAAAAGAGGGGGGGCAGAAACGACAAGAAAAGAAAAACAGGACCCCGGCAACGGGCGCACGACTTTGGATGCCTCGGGACGAATTCATGAACCGAAAGTTCACAGAAATGACAAATGACACCTAGATGTCCCGCAGGATAAGGACACCTCATGATTATTATAGCTCCCTTGTCAACGGCATTTGATTTTTAACGTCTGGAGTATTTTAGGAGAATGGGCGTTGGTTCTTTTTGGGAGAGTAGGAGGCTAACGACACGAGTTTGACATGTACTGCATATCTGTTGTCTACTACTTGCACTGCATCTCTACTTTGATTTACGAAAAAGGTTGACCACAGAGGAAACGAAGAAGGGGAAGGCTTGCCTGAGAAAATGGCCGAGGCGGTTGTATATGATTCCGTTCATCTGATTCCGTCTAGTAGTACCCCATCTAGTGCCCAAACCTGAAAATATTCCACCAACGCCCCCATTCTCAGGTTCCTTCTTTTTGTTTTAACCGTTTATAGAATACGCATTCTCATGGCAAAGGCTTATTTGTTGGCTCCGCCATTGACCCAGCAGATGGCAGCAACGAGGTGTCTGTCATTTTCATACTTCCTTTCGACACAGCAACGAGTAAGCCAAGCAACCAGGGAGAAGGACTCCCTAATCATCGCCTCCAATATCCGATTTCACGAAGCCGACGCTAACCCCTACAGCTAGCCCCACGAGCACCAACACGACAAGACAGAGACCGCCAGCAAAGAGCCCAAGCTTGAGCTTCTGGGCCCTCCGCCTCCGCGCAGCGAGGTCCTCCGACGCAACGACGCCCAAGAGCTTACGGTCCCCGAACATGTGAGGGCCCATTGAGACGTCCGAGCGAGAGTTTTTGGAGCCCAGGTCGAAGCCGAAGCCGAGGCCGAAGCCGCGACGTGTCCGCCCTTTTCCCGAGGAAGATGCCGTACTTGGACGTGACTGGATGGAAGTGAAGGGGGGGAAGGAAGAAGATTCCTCGTTGCTGTGGGTGCGGGCGCGGGAGGAGGGTCTCGATTCTCCTCCTCCTCCTGCTGCTGCTGCTGATGGTGATGATGATGGTGATGATGATGATGACGACAACGCGTCGCGAAGGGCGTAGGGAGGCGGTGCGGGGAGGTTGGGGTTGACGGCCGCGTCGCTGTCCGGGGACCAGAGCGGGGTAGTGCGGCCGTCGGCATGGCTTGTTGTTGTTGTTGTTGTTGTTGTTGTTGTTACGGTGGTGGCAGCGGGAGCAGGGGGGAGGAGTTCATGGCTGCTGTTACTGCTGCTGCGGCTGCTACTCGAGAGAGTGGGAGAGGGCGGAGAGGCGGGGGAATCGAGACCGGGGCTGGCGGGATGGAGACGAAGGGAGGGAACGGACGGCGAAGATGATGATACGGTCGGCTCTGGACCGCGGAGGGACAGGTGCGGACGAGATGAAGAGGATGGAGGCGCGGGAACTGTGGTTGAGGAGGCCATGGCGGGCAGTGTTCTCTCGTCGATGCTGCGGTCTTGGCCGTGTTGCCGATGGTCAATCATGGCCTGGGAGTTTTGTTGCTTCGCTCTCGTTCCAAGTCTGGGGAATCAAGCGCGTCCAGGCGATATGGTCATGTATCGTGAAGAGGTAGATATCGGTCATCGGTCATCGGTCGTCAGTTTTATCATAAGACGAAAAGAACGACGAAGTAGAAAGAAAGAAAAAGAAGAAAAAAGGGTCGCCAGCGAGCCTTCTTGTCAATGTCTTTAGATCATAAGGAATGACTGGAATAGAAGATCAAGAGGAAGAGGAGGATGGACTCGTGAGAGAGAAAAGCATGGCCTGACAACGTGCCAGTGGCAACATTTTCCCACCTTGCAGCTCACACAGCTTGACGTGTCCACCCGGTTGCTGCGACGGAATTGGACGTTCAAGGGGGTGGACGATTGGGGATTTTCGACCCTTGCGTTTCGGAATTCTGGAACCAGTTTCCAACTCCCCCTTTCCGGCGTACCCATATTACCTTAGGTACGCACCTAAGGTACTTTTCTTTTCTTTTCCCAAGACCGACCGGACCATGATATCCGATAAGATAAGGAGAAGCCATGTACCTAAGGTACCTAAGGCACCTTAGGTAACGACTAACGGTGCGGTCTTATTCGTCCGTGAGTAATTGTTGTCAGGGGTAAATTGTAACCCCACCCTTGGCGAACCCCCCCCTCCCTGATTACCGAAGTACTGGTAACGAGATAATTAAGAGTTACGGAGCACGAACGGCTAGGGCACCCATTCGCTTCCGACGTGTTTGTAGTCATTTGCCACAACCTCTCCTAGGTCGCGCGTACTCTGTATAACCATTCCAACAATTCGCAACACAACAACTGTCCCTCGTACAATGTATCACCACCTTCGCGTGTTTGATGTTTTTGCTTGAACTCCATTTCGGCTTTATTCTGGTATCACGATAATAATGGGCAGGGCTATCCAGCTAGCCTGCTGCCTCCCCCATCTCCTCGCCATATATGTACAGTGATTTTTCTCGATGCAAGAGTCCCCAGGCGCCGGGCCCGCTCAACAAGTCCATCTCTAACGTAACGTAGGTAGGTATCAGAAAAAATAGAACAAAGAAGAAAAGAAGAAAAGAAGAAACACAAAAAGAAAAGTCGACGAAGCCATGCCGCTGGGGCGGGGGCGTTGTGTTACAAGACAACCGCCCATCAGCACCCAGCTTGCCCTGATCCCCCAAACGCAAGCCGACTGCCGGTGCTATGCCGTACCAACCATACCAGTGCTAGAAGAAGCCTATTTTGTCACCTCAGCCCGTGAGGCATCCCGCTGTTATATGCTACACGCAGTCCCTTTAGCCCCCCGCTGTCATCTGCTAGTAGCGACATAACCAAACAGGCTCGTCTGTCCCGTAGAGCTGGCGCTTATTGCGCCTCGGTGTCCTCCGGATTGTTTTCTTCTGAAACATTGATCAGGAAATTCACCAGGTCGACCAGAACGCCATCAGCCAGCCTCACTCGCCTCGCCATGTCCCGCGTGAAGCCACTTCCTCCGTCGGCCTCCCCATCGCGGCTCCCGCGGCTCGCCGCCGCGAAAAACCGCTGCAGCACCGTCTGAGACTCCGTCGCTGCATCGAGGGATCTCTCCTGGAGAATAAACAGAATGGCTACCCGTGAAAAGTCGAGCACTTCCTCCGTGACGGTAAATGTCGCTGACGGGGGCGAAGAGCTGACCGTCGAAGCCACCGCCGGAATGTCGTCTGAGCTGGTAGGAGGGGCGGTGCTTAGCGGAGGTGGCGGCAGCGGCAGAATGGAAGTGATTGTCGTCGTGACTGTAACAGTGCCGCTCAGAATCGTCGTCTCCCTGAAACTGTCAGGTGCTGGGACCGTGAGCACCGGAACAGGTTCGGCGCCCGCAATGTCCCCTGCGGGAACCGTGTTGGCGCCGCCCGTGTCCTCGATCAAAACCTCCGTGTCAGCTACGCCGGTGCGCATCGACCTCCCGTCGAACGTGACCAGCGAATTTTGCGCTATGCACGACAAGTTCTCCCGACTAAACTTGGCCAGGATCGTCGTCCCCACCAGGGGTATGCTGAAGTTCGTCTGCCCTTCCTGGATGAGACGCGGTATTGCTTGCCCAAGCGTCACGTTGTTGATGTTGCCCTCCTCCGCCATGAGAACCAGATTCGTCGTCGTGCATCCCGCCGTACCGGCCACACCACACGTCGACCCCGTAAACCCATTAGTACAGATGCACGAGCAAACTCCTCCCGCGATCACGTTTGTCCCTCCGTTCTGACATGTGAGTTGCGATTGACATTCCGTGTTAGCCGGCACCGCCTGCCTGTTGTTCTCCTGACCGGGCAGCAGAACAAAGAAGTAGATGGGCACAATGACCGCAGCCGCCACGACGCCGAGGACGAAGATCATGAGAAGAATGAAGCCCCACAGGGGCATGCCGCAGCACCGTCGTCGTTGTCGCTCCCCTTTCTCTCCGACATCGTCGGCTCTTGCCCGCGGCCGCCCGAGTGGTGTTCCGTCCCGACTACCCGGCGCCAATGGCCAGGACGAGCGAGTGCGGAGGAACCAGCTGCCGCGGCTGTGACGCGTCGGTCCAGGCGTCCCAGCCGGCGGCGGAAATGCCGCCAGCATGTCTGAAAGACCTGATTGGTGTCGATCTTGCCCTGCCGCCTTGTCAGAATACGGGCTGAGGCCGCCGTAGAATCGGGGAAATAGGCCACTTACTGGTCAACTCTGTCTCCAGAGCCTTCTCGCCGGCAAAGTCGCTCAGGTCGTCAAGCCGGCTGCCTGGTCGCTTCCCGCGGTCCATCATGGCAGCCAGACGTGTTGCGCGCTTGATCAGGTCGGGTAAGCTCGTCATGCTTCCCCTGGCCTCCATGGCCCTAACCGAGTCCATATCAAGCGTCAGCTTGGGAGGCCGCCGCATCGCCGATAACCGGCTGAAAGGCCGCGGTGACTGTGTCGTCTTCCTCATCTCTACCGGATCGGGAGCACTGGTTGCTGCTACATAGGCGCCTAGCATGGCGTCGGCGGTTGGCGGCACGGCTGCCCCGGCGTGTTTCTTGACGGCGGGTACATTGTCGGATGAGCTAGATGAGGGGCCGGTATAGTCGGTCCCGCTATGAAAAGGACCCCTACGCCCTTGCCCTGGGGTAGGGTCGGGCCGGATTGACGATGGACCAGACTGAGTCCCCTTCGTTCCTTGCTCTCCAGCCGGTCCTCGGTTCATGATAAGGGCTGGTTTCCCCCTCTTGCCTATGCTTGCACTTCTCATGAGCCTGCTCTCGTCTCCGTCATCATCGCCTTGTGATGGGGAGTATACACTATCCTCCTCAGCAATGGGCTCCTCGCCATGGGGGGCTGTTCGATGCATGGGACTCGGCTCGGGAGATCCAAGTCCCCAACTCTCCGGCATTGCCGCACTCGAGGCAAATGACGTACGCGACCTCGAACGCGGACTCTCTTCAGGGATCGGCGACACGAAAGACGCGTTAGAATAAAACGACAAAAGCCCTCTCCTCGATGAAGGGGGTGGGCCGAGGTCGATACTCCTCCTTTGTGGTGGTGCCAAGGTCGGTTGCGGGGCTGTTTGGGTCGTCGCGGATGGTATGGGGAAATCGGGTATCGATCCGACGGACGAAACGGTTGACTGAGTTTGTCTCGACGAAGTCGTCGGCGGAACCGACTTGTGCAGATCGCGGCTTTGCGTCGAATCTCGGTCGTTTAGCGGGGTGTATGCGAACACCGGAGTAGGGTCCTGGACACGAGAGCCGTCCAGGATTGAAGGTACTTGACTCGGACGCGGAGGCCGTTGGGGTGGTTGGGATCGTCCTGGAGGGGGGTGATACGGCTCAGCCCCCGTTGTAGTAGCAGGCGGCGGAATAGAGCTAGGCAACGGCCACTGAGGAATTCGAGTCGGTCGGGAGATAGGAACCCCTAGACCGTTTCCGTCTTTGTCTTGTCCTTTCGGAAGTTCTTGAGGTCTCGGGATTCGAGACTGCGTCGTGGCTGCTCCTCGTGCGGCGGGACGAGGTGAAGAGGTAGGGGACATATCTGGTGTCAAATCATTCTCCGGTTGACGCGCAGAACGCGCCAGCTGAGCCCGTTCTCTCGCCCTCTTAACAGATCCTCCTGCTAGTGGTACATCCATATCTCTTCCATAATGGGGTCGACTCATTTAGGTATCCGTAAGATTGGCGTTTCTCCAGCCAAACATTCAACAGCTTTCTCCCTTTCCTGCCTCAGATGATGAACTGGCCGGTTCTGCAAGGGCAAAATCATGTAGCTCGTTTGGTCGCTGGGGTTGCGGAATGCTTCTGCGGGTTCCCGGCGTACGTTTGCGATCGTAGGGGAGCACGAGAAATTTGGAGAGCAGGCGAGCAGATGGTTTCGTAGACTTGGCGGATAGTCTTGACAGAAGACTCGGCGTGAATCGGAAAGGTGAAAGGGGGCGACAGGTTGCGCTACGGTAGGGGTTCGTTCAACCACAGCAAGGTAGGTGGTGTAACGGTCAAAAGGCTCCGAATGGCAGATCAGAGGTCGATAAACGAGTGAAATGGAAGCAGAAGCCTGCACAAGGGACCGGGGCGATGGGGCCAAAGCCAGACAGCCGACTTTAGTGTGACTAGCGGTGGTTTTCTGGATACTGTTAGCATATGGGGACTGTGATTATCCGTGAAGACGAGGCAACTGGGCCAGAGGACAGGCAACATATGGGCCCCTGACCATGAGCCGCCGAATTGTAGTTGCGAGGTTACCGCACTCCGCCGTGGGCCACCCCCGGAGAAAGGGGGAGACCTCAGCAGGCAAGGCTGGGATGAAGAGCAGAGTTACGTACGCTTGACGCTTCGGGGTTGACTGAGGAGACGCAGGATGCCACTGACTATCTCTTGGGAGGAGATGTTTCGTAAAACCACACACGCACGTCCTGAAGGAGGAGGACTTCGTATCACCCCTCGTTGAGGGAGCACAAAAGCGGGAGACGTTCGCAAATAAGGCCGGCGGCAAGAACGCAAACAAGAGGTCGTCTTGCCACCACACCAGGTGTATGGTCGCGATGGCGGTGGCACCAACGACAATGAAAACAGAGAGAGGGTGAGACAAGCCTGGCTCACAAGACGCGGAACGATGTGGTGCGAGAAAGAAAGAACGGTTCGTGTGTTGTTTAAGGGGCGGCGAGACGAGCAAGGAGGCACGGAGAAGATGTTGGAAGATTCGGCGTCCGGAAACCAGCAGATCAAGCAACAATCATGCGCGAGAGGGCTCGGTGGTTGCAGACCGTTGTGTTGTTAGAAAAATGAATGGCAACTGTTGAGCGTTTTTGATCCAGCTGAAGCACCTGGCTCCCGATATTCCCAATGACTCGAGGGTCGGCGTTTCGAAGGGAGCCAAAGCGAAAGGTAAGCAAATGGGTTGGGTTAGAAGACAGCGAGTGACGGCAGCGCGGTGCTTCGGGAGACCAGACTGTAGGTACTGGACCGCAAAGACCAATACTTCCTAGACAAAAAGAAACGATTGTGTGTAAGTTTGAAAGGCTCGACCGCCGAGATCTCGGATCCTGTCGTGGCCGGTGTCGTGGCCGGTGTCTGTGTCGGTGCGGGTGGTACGGAGTGAAATCGATAAAGAGCGCATACACAGACAAGTGAAGGGACTGTTCTCGGCGTGTGAGACGAGATGGAAGAAGGAAAAGAAAGAGGGGAAGACAACCGAGGTGAAGGTCTCGTAGTAAGAAGAGAAGCCAAGAGAAAAGAGCGGTAACAAAATGAGGAAACGAGACCAGGGGCCAAAGCCTGGAGCAAGTTCAGAGAGAAGAATTACAAGTGCAAGGTACGAAGCACGAATTAAACAAATAGACATGCGACGGCGGGATTACATTGGCCGGGGAAAGAGGAAGGAGAAGCAAGAAGCAAGAAGCAAGGAGCGGAAGGGGGAGTGCACACGGACGACATGGGGTAGGTAGCCCGGGGCAGGCAGGGGTCTGAATCTGATCTACGAGTACCTACCTTACATACGTTGCAGGTAGGTTTGTGACGTTTCTTGCTGTACTTCCACATATGAATGGTAGGTAATTGATTGATTGGGCGGTCGTTCTTTCCTTCGCCTTCGCGAAGGATACGGGGTGTAGTCGCACTTTGTACTCCGTACCTTCCTTAAACGCATCTTAGCCATTAGGTTCCTACCTACCTTACCTTACCTTAGGTAGGTGGATTCGTACTTGAAAAGAGTTCTAGGCCAAGTCCAAAGAAGTGTTCTTCACACCACACGGCACAACAATGTATTGATGAAAGATAATGTATGAATACTCATTATGCATTTGCCTCTTTATAAGGTACGCAAAAGTGCTGTTGGCGCGGAGTGAAATTAGATCATATAGCTGAGATAATCCAAATGTGATATGTTTTTAGGGTATCCTCGTATCTCTCTACCACCGTAAGGTACTGAGGTATTAATGGTGAATAATGTGCTTACCGGTCAAGTCAAAAAGAAATTGCGTAGTAATTAAGGTATAGTACCTTCACCAACGTCCTTGTTAGCCCAGGTCCGATTACTATTCGTACATCGTACAAACCTTTCATACGTTCTACTTCGTCACATCTTGGTTACTGACGTTTCGTGTCTATTTCTGTGTATCTCTTTGACCTCGTGTGAGACGAACCACCGGGAGAGAGAAGAGGCTAGATGACTGGAAAAGAGAGAGAGAGACAGACGTCGTCGTTCGTTAGGCATCACCTCACTGATCCGCTACGTGGGGCTTTATGGGGCTTTGCTAAATCAGAAACACTAGCGCAGGAACCTGCAACCAACACCTGTCTCGGCCTTTTCTGTCCCGCGGGGGCACAGACCACATAAGGCAAAGTACCGAAGCAGCTCGTGGCGGGGATTCCATTCAGCCACACGCGACTGGTAATGATTTCACATAGGACCCCTTGGAATAGGTACTTCGAATACAGATGTACTTGGAAGAAAGACCAGGGTGGACACAACCAAGGCAGTATTTTTCGATTTTTTTTAACTTATTTTGCCATTTTTTCCGACCTTGGCCCCTTCATTTCGATCCCTCGAGGTCCATTCTAGGCGACTTAAGCACCAGAGCTTGGGCCACAACATCCTCACTTTGATATACTTAGGTATCAACTTCAGCCACAGACCCAACATAAAAGAAGGTCGATCTTCGAGAAACGAATAGACGGGAGGATGGATGTTCATAACGACAGACGGTTGATGAGCCATTCACGACAGCGTATAGATGGGATGGGGTTGGCATCTTTCCTTTCTACTGGTTGGGCACTGGAACAATGTATCCATACAAAGCAGTCTGTTCGACGAAACCCCCTAGAATACCTACATAGGTAGACAGGTACTCAGCCTGGAGATATATCATCGATGCTGCTGTACCATGGAGAAAAAAAGAACGCCTGAAGGGCAAACCAGTTAAAGCACTACAAATTGATACATCGCATGGCTTAATTATACGACATACACCTACAGAAACTCCGGAGTACGGAGTACGGAGTACGAATAAGTACTTCGTACAGATGGTGTTCCCGCAAGAATTGATAATTATCTAATCATCTCACGAGACCAGCCCCCGTCATGTGATGACCTAGCTTCCCCGTTGAATTATGACTAAGCAGATGTCCTTTAGGCGTCGTCATCAACTTCCACTTTCGGGTCTTTCGGCGGCAACACCCATCACTCCACTTTCCAACACCATCTCTCCCATTCACCTTCAAAGACAAACCACCGACAACATCCGAATGTACGAACACTAAATCTTCTCCATCCTCTCGCGAATCTTCGCATCTTCGACTCAATCCATTCCCTACTTTTGTTGATTTTGCTCTGCTCTCCCATCTCATAGTCTCACAACCATGCTCTGGAAGCATCTTGCCGCCACTGGCCTGGCGGTGACCACGGCCCAAGCCTCTCTCGTGGTTCCCGACGTCTTCCTCGATGACTTCATCAAAGCCCTTCCTGTCGTCCACGCCGACAGCCCAGCACAACCCGTACAGGAGCAGACTATCAAGCTTGAGTGTCCCGGGTGCCCAGTCCAGCTGCGGCGTGGGGAAGGGCGGTGGGATACCAAGACCGACATTGAAAACTACCTCGAGTTGAAATTCGCCATCGATACCACTACCGACGCCGCCGACCGTCTGCTCGTCAACGAGTTTGAGATCTACCCGGATTCCGCCCCTTGGTACTCTTCGCTGAGCGCCCCGCAAATCCTCGAGTTCACTCAGGCGGTCACCAGCCACCGGCACAAGGGGCGCCCTTTGCCCCGGCCTCTGGGCTACGGCCTGTCCATCCGACCTGTCGTGACAGAGGAGGATGGCGGCGAGGAGGTGGAGCTCATCGAGATCGATCTCCAGGTCATCGAGGTCGGAAATAGCTTTGTTCAGGGCATTCCCAACGTCAAGGTACAACTGCTTCGCACCGCCAGCGGCAAGCTTTTGATCGCTTCCGCCGAGAAGACTGCTTCCACCACCGCCCCTGCCGAAACCCCGAGCGGTGACGACGTCGAGTGCGAGACTACATACTGCAGGTGGCGCTCTGCCGTCATGAAGGGCCTTAAGAACATGCAACACCACTGCGGCGGCGCTGTTCAGACCTCCTCGCAGGGTGCTGACCAGTCTGGCCATACTCACGAGCACATGCCTGGACAGTACAAGAAGCACCACACTTGGGCCCGCTTGGTCAAGAACGTGACTTGGAGCATCCTGCTTCCCGTCATCATCGGTCTCGTCGCCGGTATCAGCGTCAGCATGTAAGTTTTGAGACTTTCATCATCCATACCCCGCTCTTTTGGGCCCGGGAAGCGAACTGACAGGTGTATTAGTTTCGGCATGCTGGTCGGCACTGTCGTCATCTTCCTCTGGCGCGTCCTTGTTCGCCGCCAGTCCCCCTGGGTGCGCCGCCAGTGCCGCCGCCGCGGCCATTCTTGCTCCAAGGCCTCTCGGCGCGAGACTGCCGCCGCCGCCGAAGAGAAAGTAGCTCTTATGGAGAGTCAGGATGACGACGTTGCCCATCTCCCCCCGTACGAGGAGAACCGCAACACGGCTCAGCCCTGATCATATTCTTCCCTTCCGTACATGGTATTCGCCTCGACGTGTCGTGGAACGGAAACAAGTAAAAGAAAAGAAGAAAAAAAGGAACCATCCTTATCGGCTTTCTTTGGATGACAAAGAAAAATATTGCACAACATGGGACAGAGGATTGATATAACGGCCTTGCAACGACACTCGAAAACAAAATCAACAATTCAAAAACATAATAAAAAAATAAGAATCGGAAATCCCGAAAAACTCAAGATTCGAACTCGAAGATAGTCCGGAAAACAACCAACAACGGCGTTATGTTCCTTTCTGTCTGCTTTGGACGTTATCCTCCCTCGCTGCGGCAAAGCTTGGGGTTGAGCGAGGTCAAGAAGCAACGCCATGCGTTGGGATCTTGCGAGACTGACGAAGCGTGCCAGTCTAGCGAGGATAACACAGCACAGTCGCTCTCCTTTTCTTACTTGTTCTGCGCTTTTCTGCTGTGATTGTATCATCGTTTATCATAGGCGAATACCGAAATACCCACATTCCTTTGGTTGTTCTTTGAAGCGGTTTAGATAGGAAATTGACTTCTGTACCAACTTCAACTTCACATGCGTCTCATTCATTGCGTGTTGTCTGTGGGTGCCTTCCATGCCATGATCGCCAAGAGAAGTTGAGGAATCATGACCGATTTTATCAAAATAATTATCAAAATACGGTTGGTTATCCAGCCATGCCCGGCAAGATTTGGCTTTGGTTTGCAGTCTTGCCAGATGGGCAACACCGACATCTCGGGCATATATATGTACACAAAAGCCCATATCCACGGCCTGTCTTTTTTTTTTCCGTCCCCCTTCTTCTTCCGAGTGTTCTTTTTTTTTCTTTTTTTTTTCTTGTACCTTACACCAACACGAAAAAAACACAACGTATCCGCCTTTCCGCCCGTTACCCTCATTCCGCTAGAACCTGGTCCGCCATCCGACTAGCAAGCTCGAGAATCGTATTATCGCCCAAAATATTAAAGACCGAAATACTGGCGCCGACCTCGTCCAGCGCCCACACGCGGATGCGAACCGCCATGAGGGAGTCGATCCCGTACTCCTTGGGACAGCTGCCCTCGTAGATATCCTCCGCCTTGACGGTCGACAGCCTTGCCGCCAGCTCTCGTTTCAGCGCCTGGCAGATGAGATCGGAGGCCTCGGCCGGGGACGAACACGACGCCAACCGCGCCTTCAACGTCGCGGCCCCGGTCCCGGCGGTCGAAGCATCGGATCCGACGACGGTGAGGTCGGGCGGAGGCATATCCACCAGGTTAAGGTAAGCGTAGGCCGCAGTCCGAGACCAGTAAGGGTCCGCGGGGCGGTTTTGGCGGATGAGCCCCCCCGTACCGATCCCCAGCACGACCTGAGCGGGCAGGGGCACGCCGTCGTAGATTTCCCCCGCGATGGCGCGCTCGATGATTTTCAGAAAGTCCTGGTGGCGGATTCCGTAGAAGCCGCTGTCGCGTAGCTTTTGCATGGTCGCGTCGTCGTCGGCTACCATTCCGGCCTCCAGCACGGGGCCGATGTCGAGGGAAATGGCCCGGCCCGCAATGGTGCCGCTTCGGGCTAGGGAGTCCATGAACACGTTGCCGGCCGAGTAGTTGGCCTGGCCGCGATTGCCGATAATGCCGGCGGAGCTGGAAAGGAAGATGAAAAAGGGGCCGGAGTCGGAGCCGGAGTCGGAGTTGTTGTCACTGTTGCTGCGGTTTCGGCCGAACGTGTTTACAAGATTGCGGGTGCCCTCTCCCTTGGGCGCCACGACCTTTTGCCAGGACTCGTACTGCATGTTGTCGAAGAGCGCATCCTAAGAACAAGAAGGTCAATAAATACTATTCCTAGGAAGAGAAGCAATGAAATTATGCCGCCGTACCTGAAGAACCGCGGCACACTGGACCACGCCGGAGACGGGCGGCATATCCAGTAGGATATCCTTCTCATATACCCCCCGAAGTGCCGCTGTGTCAGAAATGTCTACCGGAAAGTGCTTCGCCGTGACGCCCTGCTTCTCAAGAGAAGTCAGGAAAGTATTGGCGTCATCCGATTTGGTCGCCGACCGAGATAGGAAAACAAGATTGCGAGCACCGTTGTCCACAAGCAGCTGGGCGATACTTCGCCCCAGGCCACCAAGACCTCCTGCCAGAACATAGGTCCCACTGTCGATGCTATCTCGGAGCGGCTTTAGCTGCCTCCTACGGGGCAAAGCGACCGTTGTGTCCGGGCCGGCGGTCACGAACACGGCGCTGGCAGGGGTTTGGAGACATCGGAAGGCGTCAGACAGCCCAGACAAACAGAAGGTATCGACGAGCTGGCTCGGTTTAATAGCATGCCTTTTCTTAAGGTGCATGTCTTCGACGCGGTTGAAAATCTCGGCAATGAGATCAGGATCTTCCGCTAACAAGGCCGCCAGGTCCAGACGCAGCATGGAGAGACGAGAGAAGGCAGCACAAGGACGGGCGTCTGAGTGGTTCTCCATGTAAATAAGGGTGCCAGCTGGGAAGAGAATTAACATGGTTATCGGTCGCCATGGGGGGGGGGGGGTTATAATGAACTTACTCGTCTTCACCACACGATCCGTCCCATCAAGGCAATCCAAAGTGGGAGCGTACACAATGTCCATCCACTGGCCTCCCGACTTTGAAAGAAGCTTGGTATGCCAGTCTGGATCGTCACAATTCTCTACATGACGGTCATCAAGGCCGAAAGCGTCCCCTAGCAGTTGCCACTGCGCATTCGAGTTCGGCCCAGAAATGGTAGAGAATACCTCAGCCCCTTTGAGCTGCGCGATCTGAAGAGCAGCTTGCCCGTAGATGCTGGCACCACAGAGAATGAGCACCCTCTGGCCCTTCCTGAGATAACAACGCATGCAGAGACTGTAGTATGCTGAAATCCAGGCGCTGGGGACGCACATCCGTAGTCCGCCGGGGATCTTCTTGACAAATCTATGATCAACCCGATGCTGACTTTTCAGTGAACCTTGCTGGGCGAGACCGACAACTTCATCGTTCGGATAGATGCCTTTCACGTTGGCTCCGACACGAGTTATCGTCCCCATGAGGTCCATGCCTATAGTCGTTTTGCGAGAATGACCGGTGATCGTTTGCCAATCGTCATGGTGAAGAATTGATCCACCGAAACTCATCTCGATCTCGTAGGGGGAAAGGTCCCCGTCAACTGTTCCGTATCTGTACTCGAAATTTCCGCATTCCTCACGGTGTTCGTTTGGTGGAAGTACCAGCAGTTCCTTCGTCTCTCCGTCAAGAAAGGGGTGCATGGAGGAGGGCGTACTGGAGAAGGTATCTTCAACCAGGTCGTTCAGTTCCTTGAGGGGAACTAGTCGAGGGATAAAAATTCGGCCATGGTCCTCGGCATATTCGGATTCTCGTGGCCCGACGAGGGGAGGGCTGATGATTGAGCGATCCAAGACAGAGAAAATGCTTCGACCAGCTTCCGATATTTGCGTGGCCTCATCCAAGTCCAACGTGGTAACGACCGTCTCGGGATCCTCTGACACCAAAGTCCGCGCCAGGCCTATGACAGGAGAATTACAGGGGATTGTAGGCCTTCGGTTGGCACCCCGCGTCACCCACAGGACGGCCTCGGCGGCCTTGTAGACATTCCGGAAGAGCGTGAAATGCTCGTGAGTCCAGTTCCAGACGAAAGATTGTGCAGGGCCTAGGTCGAGGAGGGACACCACGACCTTTCGGCTAGCTTGGGCGCAGCGTAGGGCGCAGAGATTTTCGAGATGGACAATCTCAACCTGGATATGATGATCGTTGCTAAGAAGACAGGAAAGAGCCTGGCCGAGCTTGTCCACCTCCTCGTTCGGATGGTCTGGCATGATAATGAGAATAGCACGCGTACGGTGTGGGGCATGGGTGCGGGTGACACGTTGAGCGTTGAAACCCATCGTCGTCGTCGTCGTCGCCGTCACGTGGATATCGATTTTGTAGGTCATCGTAAAGCAACCGGAGCCGGCATCCCACGAGCTGCATGCCCTGCCAGTGTCTCCTCCCGTGAAACCTTCGCTGTCCCTTCTGGAGAGGAGCAACCCATCCGGGAGAAGAAGTTTCTCGAGGTACTCATCGTCTCCCTTGTTCTCGCATGAGATGATGAGATGATATTCAGGGTCCAGGTCGGTGTCGTACCGCAAGGTGCGCTCTTCCAAGAAATGTCGAGTTGGGGAACCGAGAAAAGCCTTCTGGAGGTGATCAAGAGTCTGGGGCGATGTGGTGTCGGAAAGGCTGTACCTCAAGAGACGTGGTGCGTATCCATCCGGTGAGCTGACGTGGTCGAGAATGTGTTTGGCTAGGTGGTGATCGCCCCCTCGTTGAAGGATGGACAGGCCGGGATACTTGTGTGCCAACAGACACAGCAGCTCCTCGAACTGATCCTGACCAACAGAAGCCGAACAGACGTCCTCTTTCCACTGAATCTCGGTACAGAGATTGTGGTGGCTGGGGATGTAGTCGGTTGTGGGCAGGGCCGTCATGCGCAGTCCCTCGACGATGATGGATGGACGGTCCCAGTCGACGGTGGTCATGGCAATATCGGCTTCGGCACCTCGAAGGCCCGACCTCGCAGCGGATGCGTATCCGAAAAGCTCCTTGCCCGCTCCTTGGGCCACGTCGGCAGACACGAACAAGCTGGAGAGGGACGTAGGTACCATCGGCGTCTCGTCAATCGCAAAGAGCATCTGGAAAACCGCGTCGAGTGTAGCCGGATGGAGGATGTGGTCGAATTCGAACTGACAGGGCATGCCGGATTTGGTGTCGGGGATCACAACGGTTCCGACGCATTGCTTGTCTCCCTTCGACACCGATTTGATGTTCCGAAAGGTAGGGCCGTAGTTCATCCCCACGATATCGAGCATGTCGTACAGATGTTTGGGGTCCACAGCCTTGGTGGAGTTGGATCTGGCCTTCTCGAAAGCTTCGCCGCAACAGGGGGTTGCCGTCGCCTCGGTTGGGCAGCTGGAGGAGCAAAGTCGAACCTCCACGCAACCATAGGCGTGTCTAGTCCACTTCCCGTTCAGGGTTCGTCCGTATATGGTCCAGTCGAAAGAGATGCCATGGAGCACTTCCTGAGACCCCTGTTTCATGTTAAGGCAGACCTCAAGGCCGTAAGAGGTCTCCGGTATAACCATAGGGTTCTCGATGCGCACGTTGGTGATGACGAAGCCGCTGGGGGTAGCATCTCTAGCTACTCTCTGTCGGCTTCCTTCAATGACCATGCTTATCATTCCCGCAGCCGGATAAACGATGGTCTTCTGGACTTGGTGGTCCCCGAGCCAGGGGTTTTCAGAGACTCGCAGAAAACCTCGCCATCTCGGCTCTTGCGGCATCGAGTCAGGCGTAGGAGACCCGATGAGATCACGACGGCCAAAGTTGCGGAATCGATATTCTACGGTCAGTGGAGATTCGTGCCAAAATCTCTTCCCATGGTCCCAGGGATAAGATGGCAGATCCGTGAGAGTCTCGAGAAGGCCATGTGACGACCCTCTGCAACAAGAAATGGATGGTTAGCTGCGTGCACCTGTGTATGTCACAGTAATATACCACTCAGAAGGCATCCAGAGAACCACTTACTTTCTGACGACCGCTTGCATGTTGAGGGGGTACCCTCGCGTCCACAAATGGCCACAAGCTCCTAAGATGGTATAGACCGCGTTCCCCTTTCGGTCCATTACAGAACGGTAGAGCGGACTGGGTTTGGCAGACATGGCGTCGACAATTTCCTCAAACGGTCCCTTCAGCGTTCCGTGTGGGCTAATGTCGAGCACCACATCCGGTCGAGTCTCCGAGATCATGGTCCGAACGGCACGGGAGAACATGACCGGGGATACTAGGTTATCCGCCCAATATCGGGGGCTTCGCAGCTCATGGGGCAATAGGCGGCCACCAGTAACCGTAGAGAACATTTCCGCAGTGGGGGTGCACGTTCCCGTGTCCACCTCCACCTCCCCGTCCGTGTCCCTCGCCAGGCCTACCACGTCTTGAAGAGAAGCCAGATACTCCGGCGCAACGGATAACATGTGGCTTGAATGATAGGCAACTTCGACCGGGAGTTCTCGGGCTAAGAACCCTTCGCTTCGAGCGTGGCGGACGATCCACTGGACGTCATCTCGGTCCCCCGACAGGGTAACGCATCTGGGACTGTTGAGACAGGCTATCTGGACAGTGCTCTGTTTGTCGGTCCGTGCAAGATACTCTCGAGCTTGGTCTTCCGACATGGCCAGGACACACATGGAGCCCTCGACTCTGGAGGCAGAGCCGACTTTGGCTGCGGTAGCACAGAGCCCCCTGTAATACGCCACGGCCCAGGCCGTTTCGCGGTCGATCATCCCAGAGGCGTACGCGGCAGCAATCTCGCCGGAAGAATGCCCGACAACAGATCGAGGCTTGATGCCAAAGGCTCCGAGGAGGTCTACGAGTGCCACCTGAAGCGCCGTCGTTGCCGGTTGGCTGATCTGCGGTTGGCTTATACGGCTGGCGCTCGCCCCTTTGGCCATCTCCACGACCAGATTCAGTTGGAACCCTAGGCGGTCTCGGAGGTAAGCTTCTGCTGCATGAATGCTTTCCCTGTAAACCGGGAAACCCATCAGATCCCCTCCCATGGTCGCCCATTGGGCACCTTGGCCACAGAAAACGAAAGAAACTTTGCACAGGACATGGCCATTCGTATTCGTGTTTGTCCTCGACCGAGTGAGTCCTCGTTGTCTCTCGATCAAAGCCAGCTGTTCCAAAACTTCAGCTCTGGAGTTGGCAACCACATGTGCCTTCCACTCAAACTTCGACCGTCGACAGCCCAGAGTGTAGGCGAGATTATCGAGGTCCCCTTGTGAGAGATTTGACGACGAGGATCGAAAGTGCTCCGCCAACGCCTTGACAACGCGCAATGCGCCTTGCTGATCTGGTGCCGACAGTACAAGGAGCTGTTCTTTCATCTGGTCATGGTCGCCGTTCAAGTGCAGCGTGTCGGATTCATTCTCCTTGGCCGTTACGGGACTGGCCCTCACCATCTTAGAGGCGCGGTACTGCTCAACGTAGTATGCTCCCTCATCTACGACGGCATGAGCATTGGTGCCACCAAAGCCGAAGCAGTTGACGCTCACCCGGCGGAGACCAGAAGTCGGCCAAGAAAGCGGTTGTGTCGGAACCTGACGGGACGAAAAGGTCAGCTATCGTCAGCATAAAGCGGCACGCATATCATCTCAACAACGTACCTTCAGTCCCCATGCGTCAAAGTCAATCTCCCGGTTGCCCATCTTGAAATTGGCATTGGGTGGGATCTCTCCTTTCTCTACCACCAACACGCCCTTGATGAGACCCGCAATCCCGGCGGCGCCCTCGAGATGGCCGACGTTCGGCTTGACGGATCCCACAAGGAGAGCTTCTCCAGAGTGACGTCCGGAGGCGATGGTCTCTGCGACCGCCGTCAGTTCTGTGAGGTCTCCAGCTTTGGTGCCCGTCCCGTGGCACTCGACGTACGCCGTCTTGCAGAAATCTAATCCGGCCTTGTTATATACGCTCCGGATATTGTCGACTTGGGCAACCTTGCTCGGCAGGGTGATACCGGGAGTCCGGCCGTCCTGATTCACGTGAGTGCCCTTGATCACAGCTCGTATGGGGTCATTATCCTTGAGGGCGTCGGACAATCTCTTCAAGACGACAAAGCCCACTCCTTCTCCCCGGCCATATCCGTTTGCTCGATAATCGAATGTAAAGCATTTCCCATCGGGACTGAGGAAATTCAATGCAGTCATCGGCATCATGGTGTTGGGAGTTAAAATAATCCCCGCGCCAGCAGCCAGAGCCTTGTCATCAGAGAGAGTCAGTCAGTGGGAAACCGGATCGAGAGGGCGGAAGCACAGAGCCATAAGCTTGGGCTTTTAGCTAACAACTCACAATCGAACTGGCTCCGGAAAGGAGGCTCTGGCAGGCGTGGTGGACGGCGACAAGACTACCGCTACATCCTGTGTCCAGGGTGATGCTTTCTCCACGCAGATCGTAGAAATAGGAGATTCGGTTGGACATAATAGCCGTTCCCGTACCGGTCGCCGCGTATTGAGGTTGGTAGTCCATATCCCGCAGGGATACTTGTTCATAATCTGTAGAACCATGGTTAAATTATCTTCTTTACATGTAGCATGACCACGAGGGATGCGGAACGAACCTCTCACAAAGGAGCCAACGTAAACCGACGTATCGGATCCCTTCAAATCTTCCACGAGGAGGCCAGCTACATGTGGTCAGTGCATCGAATGACATCCATGAAAAGGCCATTGACCAGCTTACAGTTTTCTATCGCTTCGTAGGACGTCTCAAGAAGGAGACGTTGTTGAGGATCCATGGCGCTGACATCATCCTCGTTCATGTAGAAAAACTATCACCGTCAGTAAGATACGCTCTATCTCGTCGGTACTAAATCACACATACAGAGGCGTCGAATGAAGCGATATCATCCCGAAGGAAGTGGGCACCTCGAAACGAAATCTATGTCTCCACCGATCAGTACGTCTGAGGGCCTAAATAGGAGGATTCCAGGACGGATGTTCACTCACGCTGCCCTGTCGATGACCGTCGGGGTGGTAGAAACCCTTCATGTTCATACGATCTTCAGGAAACTTGGACCAAGCTGTCTTCCGCGCCTTGAGCATTTTCCATAGCTTCTCCGGAGACGTGGCATCTCCGGGGAAACGGCAGCTCATGCCGATGACGGCGATGTCAGCCATTGGGAAGGTTTGTAGTCTTACATCAACCGCTGGAGGATGGAGCGTGAGATGTGGCGAAGTTGCTCAACCTTCTTCGATGATCAATGGCACAGAGATGTTGTCATGGAGGGGGGGGGACAGGGTGGGATGATGATGAAAAGAGAAGGGGTTTTAGTCTTTTGGCACAAAAGGTAGAGGTAAAAGAGTGAATGAAATGAAATTTTGCAGAGCCAGGGAAGGAGCGACTTTTGTGGGATAGGGAGTAGAAAATAGGCACAGGGAAATAAAGGAAGGGACCCTACCGGATTCACAATAACCTAACGTCTTCTCTTTCATCTTAAGCATTGCCGCTGCCGAATTGGGAAGAGCCGGTGACTGAAAAAGCTGAACGGTGATCCATGAACGGGGATGAGTTGGAGAGAACTCTGATGACAGAATAATGGACGCCGTAAGATCATGAAATTGCAGGACATAATGCCTCCGCCCATTAATAGGGGGAAGGGCCAGGAAACCATGTTAGTGTAGTACAAAAACAGATGGTGTATGGTCAATAAAAATCTCAAAGAGTATATCTCAACATAGCCCATAGACTCTAGAGTGAGTATCACCAAAAATGTGTGATGCAGGCGGCGGCTAGCCCTTTGAAGGTAGCAAGTCAGGGACTAACTGGTAACAGAAGCTGGACAGACCTTTGCTGTCTACAAACAATATTGAGTTGGCAAAGGACGCTGTAAGAAGATTTTCACAGGGTCTGAACTAGTCCCGGTCCCGACAGGAGTCGGCTCGAACCAAGACTTGGACCTCGAATAGGGACACAATAAAATGGTTGGCGACAAAAGCATTGGGATAGGTCTGCAAACGCCAGACTGAAGTGTCCTCGGCATCAAGGCTGTTTCTGCATTGGATAGGACGATGACGATGACGACGACGACGACGAGGAGGTGATTTTCACCCGCGCAATCTGAACCGCATGGTACGAATCTGCAAAACCATCGTCTAGACCAGCGACGACGACAATCGAGAGGCACGAACTGGATATTGCCGCATGGTCCGGTCCGGCTGTGAACTCAAAAAACGCTCCGCATACAGACAGCTAGACGGTCCGAGGGTGCAGAGGGTGGCAGAGGGTGTCATAACAGAAGACCGAAGATGTGCTGTCCCGGAGACAGCCCAAATCAATGGGGTCAGAGGAGATCCGTGTCATCGTATTCGTGATGCAGAACTAAGAACGTAATTCGATCCTGCAGATACCCTACACATAAACATAAGTTCACAGCTTGATCGGATGAGGGCGCAAAGCAGGTAAGAACTGGCGGCAGCTCTAGGTTCGAAACCTGGTAGACATGTGAAGTCGAGAGCGATGCCCAGTGTATGGATGCGAAAGAGATGAGGTTATTTATTTGTCACGTGCTATACTTCAGAGATATGTCTCGGGTCACGTGACGTACGTGACAACGACGTCGACTCTACAAGGCTTGCTTGCTCTCTATTTCTTCGTCCGGCAAGTCATGATACGTGATAGGACCAAACATATGGATTCTGCATACCTAGGCATATCGTCTCCGGGGCTCACGAAGTCTGTTCTCGCAGGGAGCGGGATCCGTTGTGTTCTTGATGCCGCATTGCCGACTTCAGCGAACGCAAGGGCACGCCCCGAACCGAGTTATTACGCCCAAACACTGTAATATGTTGCTATTTTAAGCCTATTGTCTGCCTTTCTGTCCTAAGAGCTACTTACTTGAGATGATCCATCCTTGATTCTTTCTAGGTAGGAGCAGGCTCTCGGATCCCCATGTTTTCATGTGTCCAGCGAGGTAAGACCGATATTTTTCTTCAACCCGTCTTGCTCAACCATGGTAAATCCTGGCGGCCTTGCCCTCTGTCCTCCGCTCACAATTTTTTTTTTTGTTTGGGTTTTCTTCTTTTGTCTACCCATCATTGCCATGCATTCTTTTTCTAGCCTTCCCTTTTTTTTTCCTTTTTCTTTTCTGGGGGAAAAGGAGGGGTTTCGTGTTTTTTTCCCTGTCTCTTTTTTTTTCTCTGACTTCATTTTCTTCTTCATTTTCTTCGTAATCGTTGCTGATCCTCCAATTGATCCATATCGCTGTGCTCCGAAGGCATGGAGTATCATTTCTTCCAAAGCAGATTCTAACCGAATCTTCGCATCCAATTGGGATGGCATGCAAGATCAATCCCGAGGAGACGCGTGCTCAATGTATGCACCTTTATCCAGCCAAGGCTGTCGATTTTCCAAAGAATGTTCCCTGGCATGATGGGTCCACTGCATCCTCAGGGGGCTTCTGCCACGGGCAGTAAGTGTCAAGGTCACTTCCGTAGTCCAAGTTATGCAGCAGCGTAGCGAAGACCATGGGCAAAAGGGGTCCGGCAGCCTCGTACAAAGGCATATTGTTGACTTGCTCGACCTCGAGGGGGTCGCACGCCACCCTGGCGTTGCTTCGTCGCCGGTCACCGATGACACCGACGACACCGACGCTACGCTGGAGACGGCGATTGTGGGCCTGTTGAATCACGACATCCATGGAGTCGGGAAAGTCGTCGGCGGCCGCATGGAACTGGTGATAAACCTTTCTGTTGCGGTTTTCGAGGTTTTCGAGTGCTTCGCAAGTCTTAGCGAACGAACCCACCACGTGCTGCCGACGTTCAAGCAGTGGATAATGCGTCGCCCACTCTTCGGATACGGTGATGGGCTCGTGCATATTGGGCATCCCGTAGGGATAATATTTCCTGACCTCCTCCGGAAACTTGGTGTCCACAACGTCGTCTCCGGTGTGGATGGCGTGGAGAACGGACTGCAGCCGACCCACGACCGGCGAAGTATGACGGGACGAAACCTCGGGAAACGATGTGGCCCGTAATTCAGCGAGAGAAGACTCGTAGGTGAGAGGTCGATCCGGTTGGAAGACGGGCGGCTCCCCAGCACCACCAGATACAGCCAACTCCATAATGGGACAATGCCGAAGAGCGACGACGGACGGCGATCTTGTCTCATGATGCCTGGTATTGCTGTCAACCAGAGCCCTGAATTCGACAGCCGCAGCGTCGTTCTCGGAAACGACAAGCCCACGACGGCCGCGGCTATGAAGGGCACGAAGTGCCGAGTCAAAAGTCGAAGGGTTGTATTGGCGATGGCCAGGGGGGCCTGCAGTTAGAGGGAGCGGGGCGCCGGGGCCGGTTGCCAAAGTCGACTTGTAGCCTCCACAGATGTTGGTAACGTTGACAGCTTCCCCAGTTGGCTCCCCGAAGGCCTGGCGGTTATGGTTAAGATAATGAGCCCGCGAGGAAGGAAACGTGTCGCGGTTTTTCGGCTCACGAGGGGGTGCATTGCTAAAACGACTCGAGCGAGTCTCTGCCGGTGAACGGGATTGTCTGCCTCTCCCGGCTGTATCCAAATGTCCAGGGGTCTGGGGAGCAACGGAAGCGATACTGAAACGACTGTTGTTTACAGCATTGACGGGTTCCGAGTGGGAGAGGCGTGGCCTAGGTTGCAGCAGTTTCAGAGCCCTCTTCTGGTTCGGATTCGGGTATGAAGCCAGGTTATGAAGAGACTTGACAGTTAGGCGACCGAGAGCATGCTCGAAGGGGCTGCCATTGGAAGACAAGTCACCGTCTTCTTCAGCGGCACAGTCTTGCTGGCTGGCCTCGTCGACTTCGTTCCCGTTAACAGCCGGCGTCATCATACCTGGGCTAGGCTGAGACTGAGAGGAGTGCAGGCTCCGGGACTGAGACCGCGGGGCAGACATGCCAATGCGGTCAGGCGTCTCAATATCCTTCTTAGCATGAGGCGGGGTCACGGCACGGTCTTGGTTCTGCTGCAGAGGATTATATACCGGCATGGCACGGGCTGGGGCGCTGTCGAAGTCGGCTTGATCATAAGGTGAAAGCATCTCCTGCAGCGACAAAGCTTCAAGGGCTGACTTGGGGAAGAGGGACCGTTCCATGGTGCCAGGACTAGGACCGGGCGGGTCGGGAGGCCACTTGAAGGCACGGCGGAGGCGAGTGGGAGGTTTGATGGGCTGAACTGCCTTGGGATTGTAGATGGTACCCGCCGTGGTGTACTTCGGAGAGTCTGCCTCGTTGTGGTTTCTCTCAGGGCCTGGGGAGAAGCTGGTTATGGCAGTGCTGGCAGAGGAAGAGGCGGGCGAGGGATTGTCCATGGCTCGAGACGTTATTTATCGCGTTTGCATGGCAGGTTTCGTCTTGGCTTGAACGATCAAGTGGACGGCTTCTGGTCTGGCCAGGCACTTGCAATCCGTTTACCTCGTAGGGAAGGCGTGTTGAAAGTTGACTGGACTGGGAGCAAAACTTAATAGAAGCTCCCATGCAGCAATGGGGCTGGAACTGACCGTAAAAGAAGAGAGATTGCGGCCGATGTCGTCGAATGAAGATAGATTGAACAGTGCTCTTTCTGGCGTATTGAGAACAGAGAAAGCGTTGCCACGATGGAACAACACTTAGTAGGGAATGGTGTACAATGGAAAGATGCGCGAATAAGTTGACCGACTGCCTGTAGATGACGATGGCGAGGCGCGGAAAGAAGAAGATGGGTAAAGTCCAAAGAAGCGGAAGGTTCAGAACGAGGATAGCCCTAGGGACTAGAGTGGGCTGAAGTGCAAGTACGGAGAGGAACGGTAAGAAGCGGAAGGGTAAGGGGAAGGAGTTATCTCAGGCAGACATCTTAGGTGAGATCGCCAGGTGATGACTGATGAGGTATGGCAACGAAGGCAAGGAAGCCTAGAAGTCACCAACAACTCCCAGGGGAAAGGCGGAATAAAAAGGGAGGGACACTCCAGTAACATTACAAGCCAGAAGGGGGGAAGGGAAGTTGCGTAGAGTTAGCGGGAGGGGGGGATTCAAGGAAGGAAGGAAAGAAAGAAAGAAGGAAGGGACGGGGAAAGAGTCGTGGAAGGTGGGGATGAGCCGAGGCGTTCCAAGGCTTCAACCACAGATATTGGTTTAAGTACAGTAATGGCAGGCTGGCGCAACGGATAATCACTGGAAAGTTATTGTATTGAATAGCAGGCCGCCATCGACATTGAAGAGAATAACGAATGGCCCAAATGGCCAGGGGCTTCAACCTACACGTTTGGTGGTAGATGACTGAAAGGAAAGCCCCGTCGAGGGAAGGTTTGATCTATGTACAGCCACCACATACCTGATTTACGGATAAGTTACAGAGGAACATCACGGTTAAGAGCAAAGGGGAAATGGGTACGAGACCCAGTACCGGATGATGGTATTGACAGTAAGCCGCTACTTAAGGTACCTTACACTTACCTCAGACCAGGCTAGGGATATGAGGTAGTCAAGTATAATTGCAGGATGCACGAAAGACGCAGAAATGAACGTTGTATTATCGCCGGATATGCTAGGTGGTGTTTTCTGTCCAGGAGAACCACTAGGTCAATCTCTACTCAGCCCAGCGGGAAAGCCAAGAGAGGGAACAACGTTAAAGCCACGGCCACAACAGTAAGGTAGGTGGTCTTTTACTCCGAAAAAAGCGAGGCTCGGTGTTGATAACGACAAGTGGAGGATGGCTGATTATTCGAAACGAGACAGGCTGTAAATCGGAATCAAGTATTTCAGGCGTAGTGTAGGTCGTCTGGGTCAAAAGACGCCCTTGTTATCCCCTCACAGTTGGTTTCATCCATGCTACCCACCTCGATTAAACTGTCTCCGTATCCTTACAGCATGTGAGTTCCCGAGTGAAACGGCCCTGAGCGCCGACGAAGTCCCATATCAACTTCCTCCAACCCTGGGTCCAAAGCTGATGGTTTCTTTTTCCCTCCTGAAGTCACCGGTAACCCTTTCCCCGGCTGTCGTTCCGGGTTTGATCGGGACTGATTTGGCAAACGCCTCGTTCCTCTCGCAGAAGATGAAAGCATCGAATATCGAGTTACATAGACGCCGAGGTTGAAATCGACCGACGCCCCAGCTAAAGGCCACCTCCCGTGGCACCATTCATACATTTGTGCTTGAAACAATCATTCCTCTACGATAACTGTTCATGCGGACCTCAGGACGGCAACTCCGGTGTATCCCCCTTTGCTTTAATATTTTTTTGTTGACGAGACGAGAAGGAAATGGAGGGAATATACGTGTCGAGAGTCGAAACTTCAAGAAGAAAAAGAAGAAGAAGAAAAGCCCAGGGTACTGTTTCGTACGACAGTGGGGTACCGAAGTAGTCGAGACAAGTAGCTGATCGGAGTCAAGACGCATCAAGTTGTCGTGTCTCTTCGGGGGGTGAGGCACATCTGCGATTATCAAGAGTTTCCAACAAGGTTGGCCATATACATAGAGAGAGAGATAGAAGGTAAAATTGAGCGAATTGAAAGCGCTATATGTGCGCGGCTTATTACCCGAAGAAATTTGCGCCAAAATCAGCGTGCAGAAAAGAGAAGAGTCCGATGTCGTCGACGCGCGGAGAAAAAGGTTCAGAGAGGTCCCTGAGGATACGCGCTCCCGGGAATTAATCCACCACCCCCGCCTCCGGGAGGAGGCGCCATCCGGCCTCCGGGAAGCTGGAAGTCCGGATTACTGTTGAGGAGTATATCCTGTTGCTGGGGACGTCGTGGAGGTGGCTGGCGCCCGTAGCCAGGCATGGGAGGTGGAGGGTTCCAGCGCGGGTTCACGCCCCGTTGTGATATCGAAGTAAAATTCGAACGATCAGAGTCCGCGCCAGGGCTTACACCACGGGGGGGAACGCGTCCATCGTTGGAGCTCTCGTATGATTTGGAGGGCGGCATGTCAGTTTGATGGGAGACAGGCGCATTGGAGTGGGTGGGGCCCGCAGACGCGAATCGCGGATCGATGTCCTCATAGTAGTCGTGGCTTGGCGATGTTGCACCCTGTGGTGACGCAACACGGACGGCAGGGAGTTCTGCAGCTGCCCGTGTATTCAGAGGGGAGGGTACGTTCGGAGAATGACGTCCCTGCGCATGGCCTTGCGCCCATGCCTGACGTGGTGGTACGTATTGGCTGTTGTGGTGTTAGGCAACGGTACTATTCGGGTGCGGTCGAGGAGAGATAAAACGGGGCTTTTCTTTTCTTATTCTTATTCTTTTTTTTTTCT